CCCTCCTCTTAAGCGCGAGGGCCTAGGCTCTAAGGTTCTTACACCCCCTCCTCTTAAGCGCGAGGGCCTAGGCCCTAAGTAACGCCTCAGCGTAGCGAGTCTAAGGTTCCTACACCCCCTCCTCTTAAGCGCGAGGGCCTAAGCCCTAAGTAACGCCTCAGCGTAGCGAGTCTAAGGTTCCTGCACCCCCTCCTCTTAAGCGCGAGGGCCTGTACCCTAAGTAACGCCTCAGTATAGCGAGTCTGAGGTTCCTGCACCCCCTCCTCTTGAGCGCGAGGGCCTGGGCCCTAAGCAACGCCTCAGCGTAGCGAGTCTGAGGTTCTTACACCTCCTCCTCTTGAGCGCGAGGGCCTAGGTAAGTATTTCGACGAGCGATAGTAATAGGGATACCCGGGGATTTCCCAGTGTATGTGATAGAGGTATCCGAATCTCTTTAGACGGTTTAATAATGGGCGCGTAAATGCGAAAACAGGTATCGACTTAGTTTTCTCGGAGGGCGAGGAAGTTGCGCCATGTTAATTTTTACTGGTATACTTTCTCTCCGTACGGCTATAGCTACGTCCATTCGCGCTATTCGGTTTTCTCTTTTAGGTAGGTTTCTTAGGTATCTCGTTAAGGTTGGGGAGGGTAGTAAGTTCTCCTGATCTTTTTTATTAGTTTATCTAAGTATTAAAGTTAAGTATAGTTACCGTATATGTCTCGGTATGTACTTAGTATAGTATTAATATTGTAGGTTTAGTATCGCGGAGCGTTCATTATTCGAATACCTAGATATCCTGCGTTTACCTATATACCCATTCATTTTATTAAAGAGATTAGGGTGTAGAATGGATCCATTCTATAGCTAGGGTTGATAATGCTGTATAATATATCGAGTCCGCTGTTCGAATGTAGATCGAGTACGGGAGGGTGCGTGGTAAATGAAATGGGGAGCTACCTAGAGCGCGCTTAGAGGGGGTTACGCTGTAAATAAACTAATGGGTGAATTATCACGCTGTAAGCGGACCAATGGATGAATTGTTACGCTGTAAGCGAACTAATAGGTGAATTATCACGCTGTAAGCGGACCAATAGATGAATTATCACGCTATAAGCGAACTAATGGATGAATTATTACGCTGACTAGACTAGGCTACTTTAGTATTTAGTGTAGATAATGCTTAGCGGTATACGCTTTAACGCCTCGAGATAGGGTATTTTCAGACTTCGATATCTTAATAACGCGACTAGCTATAGAGATAGGGAGACCTACGTTAGATAGAGGAAGAAAAATAATATATAAATATCTATAATAAAAGAAAAATATCTAACGGAGAACGTTAACCTTAAGGGGTAGAAGAAGGATGGAATATAAGGATAGTTACCTTTAGTATAACGAGTATATTTACTAGTATTAGCGGGTCTCTTATACCTATTACCGACGACGTCGGTAGGGTCGTTCTTAGAGTTAGCTCTATATAGAAGTTAGTAATAGAATATACTTTAAGTACGCTATAAGCGGTAAAGGAGTATACTTATAAGGTCCGGATATAATACTAATACTATAGAAACTCGCGCTAAGCGCGTATACCCTTAAAAGGGGTAGGAGATTTAGGGAGTGACCGACGAGGAGCTATTATAATTAAGATTAAGTTAAGAGAATTATCTAATTTAAGAGCGAATTAAGTAGGTAAGTATTACGTATAAAGTAATGATAAAGAGAAAGAAGAGAGAGGAAAGGAAGGCCTTAATAGAGGTCGAAGACGTAGATATATAACACTAGAAACTACCTACCTATTAAGTATAATACGATTATACTATAAATAGAAAAAGGAAATAAATAGGCTAAATAGTAATAAAGTAAATATACCGAGTAATTAATGTATAAGAACGAAATACTAAGAGTATAATTAAATTAAATGGAAGGCATTTATTTAATATAATAATAGTATAGTATACTATTATTACCTAAATGCGGATACTTCTACATTAGGACTAGGTTAAGTTAACGAGGCTATATAAGGCTACCGTAAGTTAACGAGGCTACGTAAGGCTACCGATTACTCGGCTATCTTACTAGTTTAAGGGCGAACTACCTAGGGGAGAAAGGGTAACTATTACGAATAACTACGTAATACTAGATACTTAACTTAGGCTACTAGCTAAGTAGCTGACTTACCGTATATATATAGTAAGAGGGGTTACACCTATTAACCTTAAAGCCTTCTTTAAGCGTTAATATCTCTATCTATAGGCTAGTTATCTATCATTATTAATCCTATAGTACATATATTTACCCTCTAGTTAGGTAACGGGTCTAATAGTTAGGCTACTAAGGAAGTAGCTCTAATACTACGTTAGATAGAGGAAGAAAAATAATATATAAATACCTATAATAAAAAAAAATATCTAACGGAGGACGTTAACCTTAAGGGGTAGAAGAAGGATGGAGTAGTACGAGAGATTAGACTTACCTTAAGAGGTCTATTCTCTAGGGGACGCTTCTAATCGTAGTAAGTAAGCCACGACCGACCAGGGGTTCTCTCCTATATAGTCATTTTAGGGAAATTTCTAGTCCTAACTTAACATCCTTAGGCCGTTTTTTCCCTATAGTATATAGGTAAATTCTACTAATTATATTTCTGCCTGTAGATTCTCTTATTATAATATAGTAGAATACTAATACATCATTATATTATATTTCCCGTTACGGAAGACACGTACTACATGTGATCTCTCGTCCTACTTCTGTATGCCGCTCGCTCAGCAGTCCTTCCCCTGGACACCCCACCTTAGAATCGCATGTCAGGCCTGTTTCTAACACTTGAGGACGTTCGCATGTGGCTTAATGAAACAGCTCATACAGTAGACGGACAATCTCACCTTTACTCCGATGGCTAAAGAGCCATATTACCGACTCGGAAAACCTTGCCGTGGGAACTTAGTTCGATCTGAAAGCGCCGTCCTACGCCCCACTCCCTTCACGGAGCTGAGCGCGGGACAATAGTGAGAGTTTTGCGCACCACGGCCTTCAACGGACAGCACGCGCTCGCTACACACGGCTAGCGCGGCTCTCACCCGTGTTGGTGGAGCGCTATCTCCAGTTTGTCCCCTATTCCTCCCCACCATATACAAGCATTGTAAATCTCGATCCGGAAACCGGTTCCGTGTTCGCCGTGTTAGGATACGCTTTTCACTCCTACGGATTGTATATGAAGGTCAGGCTGTATCCTTACACAGACCGCCCGGATAAGAACTCTTCGCGTAGCTCGCCGCGCGTGCCACCAAAAAGTCGCTGAACCACCTCGCCGCCATGAGCAGCAAACGAGCAAGTAGCCCATCTCCCGATGCTGACAAGTTTCAGAACGAAGCAGTGATCTTAGAGGATGTACCGTCCGATGGTGCCCCACGCAAAGACCTGGATGTTGCGGCCCAATTCCTGGCCACTTTAGACACTTCTGTCGCCCAAGAGCCCGTCTCAACTCAAGAGGAACGCCGTGTGCTTTGGAAGATTGATCTGACGATTTTACCGCTGATCCTGGTCACCGTTGTCCTTGCGGCCATTGACAAAGTGATCATCTCCAATGCGGCAATCTACGGCATGTCGGAAGATACCAATTTAGTGGGAAATCAGTTCTCCTGGGTCGGCTCGCTCTTCTACTTTGGCTACCTGGTGGCGGAATACCCTGCGGCCATTCTCATCCAGCGCCTTCCCCTCGGAAGGTTCTTCGCCATCACCATCATGGGATGGGCGGTTATGATGTTGTGCACTGCTGCCACCAACAGTTTCGGTTCCTTGGCCGCCGTCCGATTCCTCATGGGCATGATGGAGGCCTTTGTCTTCCCCGTGTCAAGCATCATGACGGTCATGTGGTGGCGAAAGAAGGAGCAGCCAATTCGCGTGGCATTCTGGTTCAATTCGGTAAGTCTCGCCTCCCCGTCCTCTCAGTCTCTAAAATTGGTCGCGAGCTAACAAAATTCGGCAGCTTTCGACCGTCTTTTCTGGGATTGTGAGTTACGGCATCGGCCATACGAACACAGCTCTGCATCCCTGGCGCCTGTTGTTCCTCGTCCTGGGCGGGTTTTCCGTCCTTTGGGCCATCGTCATCTTCATTTTTCTGCCCAGCTCACCCGTTGATTGTTGGTATCTCAGCGAGCGGGAGAAGTATGTGTGCCTCTACCGCGTGAGGGAGAACAATACCGGGGTGGAGGATAAGAAGGTGAAATGGTACCAGGTCCGTGAATGTTTGACGGACCCCAAGACCTGGCTGTTGGCCATATTTGCGATTGCGCAGAACATCCCGAATTCGGGTATTGTCACTTTTGCGGCGATTATCGTGCGGGGGATGGGCTACTCGCCCATCAAGACGGTGGTCATTGGGATTCCCACAGGCATTATTGCCACAGTCTGGCAGATTCTTCTGTCAATCATTCAGTCCTATCTGCCCAACACCCGATGCGCTTTCATTGCCGGAGGAGATATGGTCACTCTGGCATCCGCCGTCATGTTATGGAAGTTTGACAGTGACAACCGGAGTGGACTCCTAGGTGCTTACTACTTATTCTACACGTATTGGGCGCCGTACGTGTTGGCAACCTCCCTCCCCATGGCAAATACGTCCGGTCACTCCAAGAAACTCACCATGAATGCTGTCTTCTTTATCTCTTATTGTGTTGGATGCATCTTGGGACCACAGACATTCCGCTCGAACGATGCGCCCACATATTCTCGTGGATTTGAAGGCCAGATGGCGTGCTTTGTCGTGGCAATCGCCGCCATCTCTGCGTATGGGTTCCTATGCTATTTGGAAAACAAGAGGAGGGACCGTCAAGAGCTAGGGACAGCATCGGTCTCGGACTCCAATTTGACCCAAACCTCGTTTTCTGATCTCACAGATTTCGAAAAGAAGGAATTCCGGTATACCTATTGAGGCCCTCGGACCGCAAATCTCTGGTCGCATCGAAATGAACGGCATGGGGAAAATCCTTCTGGGCGGCCACAATGATATCTATGGTTCAAGGCCACCTCTCTGGACGATGGCAAGCCCTAGTTTACTGAAGTCTCATATGGCTTTCGAACAACATTGTTATAGAAACCATATCTATGCCTTAAGGTTCTACCTGGTGGTCAAATGCTCCACAAACCACTCTTTGGCTGCTGCAGTTGATGATTACTTTGAGATCGTATAAGGCGAGAAATGATCTCCCTTGATGTCTACGTGGGACTTGGGCTCTTTGGCTGCCTGATAAGTTTTACGTTGCCACGGGAGGAAGTCCTGGTCCGCGAGGATGAAGCGCCTAAGAATCGGCGCAATCAGTTCCACCAGAGGCGTCACGTCCATCAGGACCATCAACTGATAACTCTGAAGAGTGAGTCGACCTTTATAGTTGCGGAGCCCGGTTTGACTCATCCCTTTGATGTACACGGCTTTCGCGTCGTCGCCAGATTCTTTCACAAAAGGCATCTAGTGAAGCTCCTTTCCCAGAGCGCGATTTGTTCGATGTTCCGCCAGTTTCGGGTGGTATCAGTCGAGGTCGTTACCATAGCCTCCCATCCAGGCTGCCATAATAGGAATCCACTTGATCAGTGGCGTTTATGACACTACAGGGTCGAGGGCTGTAACAACGAGCACGTTTCTCCCTCCGAGATTTGTTACCTAGACACCGATCCGCTCAGAATCAATCTCGGGGGGGTGGTGCATAGCTGATCGCATTCTGCCAGTCTTCGACCAGACCAAGATGAGCCACCTGCTCCCGTGGCTCACGTTCACTGTAACCAAAGTTTCGACAATCGAAGAGCCAGGCGATCCCGACTTCCACTTGAGCATCGGCTACTTCTGGTATTGTGAACTCCTTGAACCCACCAAGCTCATAACCGAGGATGACTATGGGGTGTGGCCCGTCACCAGGTGACAGGCGTAGGACTCCCCGGATTTGAGTCCATCCGATCTAAATGCCGCTGGGCGTGGCTTGCCGCTTCGATTGGCCATCTTGTTACCTGCATGGCACACGAGTCGTGGCATCGACGCCTGCCGAGGATAATGCAGAATAGCGGCTGCACCTAGTCCGAAAGTGGATAGTATGCAGCCTCGTCATGGCCGATGGCATGTTCCAATTGGGCCGTGGCATGATTCAGAGCGTCACTTCGGGGGCATCTCAACTCATAATTCAATGTTGAGATTGTCCCACGGGGAATGTGCCCCACGGAGAACATACGGACATTGAATTCTGATCAATATATAGAGAGAGAGAGAGAGAGAACAAAAGACTCCATAGTCTTCTCATGGGCATTCACAGCTTCACCAAACCATGCATATCAAGATCCCCGCCCTTCTACAAGGTCGTCATGGACGGCAGATGGCTACAGACGCAGACGGACAGTCCACAAATGACAGCGATCACAAGGCCACTATCGATAGCAAGCATGAGAGAATCGAGCTGGAGAATGGAGTTCAGCATTTTGAGTCCGCTACGGACACACAGGGAAGGGTAACAGGGCGCGTTATTTTAGCCATTTCTGTAAGGCCAGGAGTCCATTTCTCTAGCATCTCAGCCGCGATATACTGACCAGCATTATCCAGGCCCTTAGGCTGACATATGAAGCCGCTCTTTTCTCTTTCGTAGTACGTGCAGCTGTCCTCTTGACCATCAATGCAGACGTTGGCCCGTCAGCCAATCTGAGTTGGGTTGCTAGTAGCTGGTCATTGGCAAACGCTGTTCTGCAGGCGACTTTTGGTCGCGGGGCAGATATCTTCGGCCGGCGATACTTTCTTATCTGTGGCGATATTTTTGGACTTGTCTGTAGGTTGCAACTCATTACTGATGCTACGACTTGAAACAACAGCGCCTGACTTGCGCAAGGGAACTTTAGTCAACGGACGGTATGTCACACCCGCTCGTGCACTTCAATGGCTGAACCCGCGTATAGTGCCAACACAATCCGAGTTGTGATTGCAGGCACCGCTATCCAGCTTCGTTCCATGTGCTCTTCCTTCTCTCTAGCATAAGCTCATCCAAGCGCAGGGGATCGGTGCTGCCCTTCAACAAGTTACATATGTGTCCGCCTTTGAGATTGTCCCCAAAGAAACATCGAGGGGGGCAAATCTGTCTGCACTCAATCTTGCTGCTCTCCCTGCTTCAATGTTTGGAGATATTATCGGTAGGTGCGAACGATTGGATGGAGGCCCCTGCAGCTGACTACATGGGTGCCTAGCCTTTTCTGTGGTCAAAACATTGAGCTGGCGCTACACATACTATTTTTGCACCATGATCAACGGGATAGCCCGATCATGGTTATCGTATTTTACTGGCCCCCAGGATGGGTTGGACTCCGTCTGGATGGCAAATCACGCACCCAACAATCGAAAGACCTGGACTATGTTGGCGTGCTTCTGATGGCCGGTGGTTTGATTTCTCTCTTGCTGGGCGTCTCATGGGGGGGAAACCCTTACCCCTGGACTAGTGCAACCGTCCTCGTCCCACCACTAGTCGGAGGTATTGCTCTTCACTCTACATCGCCGTATGAGACATCTAACGCCTTGACAGGACTGACTGACGATCCTTCTACCTCTTTGGGAGTTCTACTCCCCGGCTGATATGGGCAGACTGTTTCCCGGGAAATTGATCACAAATGTCAGATCGGTCATCCTAACGCTCTTCATCACCTTTGCTTCCGGTCTTGCGGTAGCTACTCTTCACACTTTCACATACAAATGGCATTTAGAGCAACACTGATATTTATTGGCAGCTCTATGGGCTCCAGGTTTACTGGCCTCAATGTCTGCACCCAACTCTTCACGTCGGAGACATTCTGACATGCAGATAGTGATTCAAACCCTGTCTACTACAGAACCTGATCGGGCTGGCTGGCTCAGATTTGTACTCAATGCCGCCGGGACTAGTGAGTATTCCCAGACGAGCAAATCTTCCATGTGTCGCCATTGACATTCTCCTACAGTCGGAATCATGACATCGGGAATTTTCTTTGGTATCCTGAAGCCCACGCGACTCCAACTGGTCGCATATACTGCGCTACAAACTGTTTTTCCAGCAGCGATGTCAACCATCACTCAGCACTCACTTGCGCGGGCGGTAGTTCTGGCTATACTCACTGGTTGGGCCCTCAGCTCGACCATGAGTGCCAGTGTCTTGTTTGTCCAGTGCGGAGCGGGCGACGATCGCCTTGGTATCTCGAACGGGTAAGTTCATTTCCGGCATTTGGTGACAGCCCTGAGAGGACATCGAAAATGACGAGAGAACAGGCTGCGCGGAACCATTGTGAACTCCGGAGCAGCCATTGGGTTTGCGATCTACGGGAGTATTGTCAATAACAAGGTCAGAGGTACCATGGGGCCAACCATGGCCACGGCTTTTGTCGGCGCGGGATTACCAGCCAACTCAATCGAACCGTTTATTAGTGAGTAAACCTGTCAGAACCAACGCTTTGAGGTAAGATTAACCAAGGTGCAAAGGCGTTTTCCTGACAGGAAACTCCACCGTTCTCGCTGGAATCGATGGGGTGACACCAACCGTCCTAGCAGCCGCAACAAGCCCATCTCGAGATGTGTACACCCAGGCATTCTGAATCCTCCCCCTGGTCACCACAGCCTTTACTGGTAAGTCCACAAAGAAACTCGAAAGTTTCCAGTACTGATGCTATCTAGGCGCTGCCTTTATTGGTAGCCTCTTTGTCCCAAGTGTCGATATTCACTTGACTCAGTAAGCTACCAAGACACATCTGAAGTCTACGGCTAACACACATAGACATACTGCTGTTCAACTCGATAAGCCCCACGTCATTGGACATGGTGAAGGTGAAGCAAAGGTTCTCACAGAAGAAAGTGCTTAGGAGATACTCAGGGAGTGGGCGACCGTGATGTTGTCACGCGAGGCAAAGACATACTACCTTTGAAAAATATCGTGTGAACTTGCGCCAACATGGAGACAAGTGATATTCCCATCCAGGAACTGCTCGCGGAAAGAAGATATAACATATATACCCAGGTGTCACAAAACACTCCATTTTGTTATTTCACGATTCCCCTGGTCATTTGTTAACCCATCAGCTCTGTGAACTGAGACTGTCGAATCTGTGGAGCAAGATGCGTATCTGGGGATATGTTCCCTCTTGACGACCATAAGCTTTCTAGATTATCTTGACATTCGAGAAACCTGTAGTCAAGTTGTCCACGTATATCAATATTCAGAAATGAAAATACTCATTCCAAACACATAGACTCTCTCGTGACCTTTGCTGGAACTTCAATATTTTTGAAGGGACATGGAGGGGTCCGCCACCCGAGGAATCTCCCTGCATCTCCCTGCTACACGCAATGCTCCTACCCATGTGTTCAACCCTGCTTCCTCAGGTTTCTCCAACAGCAGCCTCTGATCGACCCAGCTAGCCTGTGGCTGGGCTCTCCGAGCTCCGGACTGTGTAAAAGCTGTGAGCTCCGCATTTAGCTCAAGATTCTCTGGGCTCAGCTTCTCTTTCCGACTTCCTGGGTCTCTTGTTCCCCGGATTTTCCAGCTTCCCAAGGATGCTACAGTCTCGGGGACTCCGCTTACCTGCGTGCACAGCACGACTCGTGGTAGCTCATCCCGGAAGCAAACAGAGCCGGACCTACAGGGGTCCCAAGTTGGACATGTCATTTTGCATACTTAGTCTACAAGGATTCCCTCGACGGTGAGCGAAATGTCCAGCCTTGGAACCAAGCATCAACAACCACAATCATCCAGTTTACTTCTTCCAACATGGCAGATAAGACTCCAGTTCCAGCCTCGGAGATTGAGCACGTACATTCTGAGATGGATGTTCCCCCCGAGCTCGAGAAGACCCACGTCGAAGAAGAGCGGAAACTAGTGTAAGTGATAAAGAAATCGTGAAACACGATTTGCCTGTATAATTGACTGTGTGAACCAGGCTCAAGATTGATTTGCGCATCCTGCCGTATCTCTCGGTCATCTTTGGCTTGTCTCTGCTTGATCGGATCAATGTTTCGGCCGCATATATTGCAGGGATGAGCATTGATATCGAACTCGCGGTCGGTGAGGACATGGAAATGGAGCTCACATGAGCTTGGTAGCCCTAGAAGACTAACATGGACTCAAGGTGCTCGTACTCGATGAGTCTATTGTTCTTCTTTATCACCTATGTCTTGCTTGAGATCCCACTAATTTGGTAAGTTGAAGAGGCCCCCCCTTCTTCCCGAATTTTTTATACCGTGTCTGTTGACCTAGGATGGATGGATGGGTGGATTATTCGACGAGTCGGCGCCAGATGGTGGCTGAGCTTCCTGATCACTGCCTGGGGTATCTGCGTCATGTGCCTGGGGTTTATACAAAGCTGGGTCCCATTGGTCGTCCTCTGCGTTCTCTTGGGAGCGTTCGAGGCCGGTTGTGAGTTGATGGCTTCCGATACCGATTACATGGCCCGGCTAATACGGCCTTGACAGTGTTTCCGGGGGCGGTCTTCCTGATCTCTGCATGGTACAAGACATATGAAACGGCACGAAGAGTGTCATGGTTTTATATGGCCTCGCTGATGGCTTCTGGGTTCAATGGTATTGTGGGTTCATTCCTAGCATCCCTGACCCAAGGTTCGTCAAGGCTCACAAATGGTCAGATTACATATGGCCTGTCGGTGATCAGGTCTGGAAGTGGCACCTATCGGCAAGGGTGGAGATGGATATTCTTGATCGAAGGCGCCATTACAATATTTTGCGGCTTGATAGGTTCCATCTGTCTCGGAGAATGTCAGGCTTCTCCACAAGTTTGCGGTTTGGACCGTCCTGTGCTGACTCTCTATTGGCAATTCCGGAACACAGCAAATGGCTCAACGAGAGGGAGAGGCATATCGCCACCGTCCGACTTGCCAACGAGCGCTCGGGCAGAGAGTACGAGCATCCAACCCTCAGGCAAGGCTTAAGACTCCTTATGGACTGGAAACTTGCTTTCTAGTAAGTTCGCCGTCCTCGAGTCTACCATTGTGTGCGATCTTGGGTTGTTGACAGAGATCAAGCTGCCTCCAGGCCTACCTGGGCGCGTGCAGTGTATATGCATTGGGCTACTACACACCAATAGTTCTTCGTCAGGGATTGGGATTCAACTACGCCTTGGCCCAGATCTTGTCGAGTCCGCCATATGTATGTTTACCCCGTAAGCGTCGTTACACCGTCTACTAAGACCCAGATCAGCTCATAACATGGCGTTTCTGATTAGATACTGACTGTTTTTCTCTCCCTCCTGACATATTGGTTGTCGGACAAGACGAAACTACGCTGGCCGTAAGTGAACCTCCATTTCTGGCCTGAAAGACTTTGCTGACACCCAACGATTTGAAGGTTTCTATGCTTCCACGCCTTGGTCGGGTAAGTTGTGCTAGTCGTTAGTTCTAGAATTGCCCTAATTTCCGCTATATAATTCTCCACTGCACAAAAGCTAACAGAAGACACCATTGCTAGACTTGTTGGGCTCGTCATCGTCCTCTGCGCTAAGCCACCCGGGGTTCGCCTCTTTGGGGTTTTCCTGGCGATATTTGGCACCAACGCCAATGTGCCAGGAAATCTGACTTATGGACAAGGCCAGACCGCTCTACCACACAAGAAAGGTCTGGTGGTGGCGGCCCAGGTCGGGTTTGGTTCTATTGGGGGAATTACCGGCTCAACCATCTTCAGATCGCAGGATGCGCCACAGTACTTCCCTGGGATGTGGGCGACCATCAGCTTTTAGACACTATACATTGTCATGACGTCTGGCATGAGCTTGTGGTTGACAAAAAGAAACCGTGACGCGGATGAAAAGGGGGAGATCCTCGAAAAAGTGGAAGGATTTAGGTATGCGCCATAGGAAGAGGTCGGTTGGTGCGATATCAGAACTGATGTATTCGCCGCCACAGCAGGAACTCAGGTGTCGGTGCGCGTTACAAGTACAAGTATACTTATAGTATTTATGTATAGGATAATGACCCAAACAATCTACATATTTGTTCATACAGAAAACCAATGGCTTCGAGTACTGCAACGGCTCGCAAACGGCGAATTTCCTCAGACCGCCACGGAGCCCCAGATTGCGGCCATCATATTCCGAAAGTCCAAGAGCACCGGAGAATAATGACCGGGGGTTTGCCACCCAGTGGTGGTCCTTTCCTCTCCTCCGCTGGGGTTTTCAGTGGGGTTTACAGTGCCGATCTAATTGGAAGGGCTTCTAACGAAAGGGGTTTTCCCACTCGGATGGAGGATACGATAGTTGACGGGGTTTTTTCAGTTTTCCCACCGGAACTTGGAGAACGGGACTAAAGGCAAGAGGCTAGAGAAGAGTAACTCTCAGGCTAATCAACCCCAGATTCCCAGCTTCCTCCTTCTCCTCGTCCCATGGGGTTATTTCGGTTTGTCCCGGACCACATGCACCCCGCATTATCCGGCCAGGAATCCTTCCGCAAAGTGGCGGCAAATTACACCTGGAATCTGGAGCCTGACAACAGGTGGTTCAAACCTCCCAGAAATGGTTTCCACTCTCCCGGGCGCACGTTCTTACCCACATGTACCCAAAAGTTTGGGGAAATGCCACTAAAGGAGCTGACCTGGCATCTTAGCAAGGCTGTATCCACACTGTCTCCTCCGGCCATTGGAGCGAAGATCATGAAGCGAGATGTCTAAGTTGAGGCCCCCATGGCCTCTTCGCTTGAGCATTGCTTGGTTTTTGGAGTACTCCTGAGTCTCGATCCTGGTTCTTAACCGAGACCCGAGGGTAGGGGCGAACTATTGCGTGGGGGAAAACAAGAGTGAAGATACAAGTATATCAGGGGATGCGTTGACTCCTCCACGGCTGACCGCGACTCTTCTCCCCTTGTAATCCGACCTATTGTCCCAAAGTACCGTCAAACACCGACTGAGAGTGACCGACTGACCACCATGATCTCACTCGTACAATTTGGGGTACAGAGCGAGCTCCTCTCACAATGGAGCACAAGCAGCTGACACACTCGACAGATTGTTTTATTCGTCGGCCTGGGGAGTATCACCTATGGCTACGGATCCAGCATCATTGCTACCACCACTGGACAACCCACCTTTATTTCCTACTTTGAGCTTGATACCAGATCCAACGCAGATGATCTTTTGGGGGCCATAAATGGTCTCTTCTCCGTGGGAGGCTTGTTTGGCTGCATCTCGTGCTTCTGGATTCCCGACAAATGGGGTCGCAAAAAAGCAATCATGTTTGCGTCTTTTACATCCATTGTTGGGAATGGCCTCGCCGCGGGGAGTGTGCACATCGCCATGTTTATCGTTGCCAGACTCATCACCGGCTTCTCCGTAGGAGCCCTGGTGAGTCTTGTTCCACTATACCAGAGCGAGATCTCCCCACCAAAGATTCGCGGTCTGCTTGTGGGCATGCACGGTACAGGCATCGCCACCGGCTATGTTGCTGCTAGCTGGATCGGCCTGGGTTTCTACTTTGTCAAAGCAAGTGGCACTCAATGGAGAATGCCCCTGGCAATCGGGGCGTTGTGGCCTCTCCTGCTTGCTGGTGGTGTGCTATTGATCCCAGAGTCTCCACGTTGGTGTAAGTTGCCTCGACAGATTTCAAACCCAAGTTTCGATACTGACGATACAAAAGTGTTGACCAAGGACCGTCCCGAGGATGCTCTCAAGGCGTTCAAGGCTTGCCGCACCGAGTCCGGGCCTCGCAATGACGAGCACGCTATTACCGAGGAATTCCATCTGTTGCATTCTCAGGTCATCGAGGAGTTGAAGGATCATGTGCCATTAAAGGAGTTCTTCACCAGACCAGCCCTCCGCAAGAGGTCCTGGATCGGCTGGTTGACCATGGTGGCGGGTCAATGTACCGGAACCATTGTTATCAACAGTGAGCAAGACTTCTCATCATGATCCATACTTCTATATTGACACGCGTCGCAGACTACGGACCTTTTCTCTACAGAAATCTTGGCTTCACCGTCGTCAACCAGCTTCTAATCCAGTGTGGCTGGATTACCGTGTGCCTTCTCGGCAATGCCTTCAACGCTGCAGTCATTGATTACTTTGGAAGAGTTCGAATGCTCGGTAGGTATCTCTGCTCCAGAATCCTTCCATTTGGCTGACCAGACCTAGTTTTTGGGCTCGCTGGAGATGTGATCGCCCTTGCTGGCGAGTGTGCTACGGTTGCTGTCTATCAACGAACGGGCTCAGAGGCAGCCGCCAAAGCAGCCGTGTTCTTCCTCTTCCTCCATATTGGATTCTACGGCTGGACGATTGACGCCAGCACGTACATCTATGCTACCGAGATCTTCCCCAACCCTCTACGGGCGCGCGGTATCGGAATTTCTTGTGCCGGTCTCTTCATGGCTATCATTGTCTTCACCAGGTGAGCTTCGGAGTCGAATTGACTGATGCCACCCTGGCTAACTTGGTTCGCCCAGTGCCGCACCCACCGCATTCAACACTATTGGATGGAAATACTATCTCGTCTTCACCATTCTCACCGCCATCAACACCGTTGTCATCTTCCTCTTCTTCCCAGAGGTACTTTTCTCTCAATCTCGTAACCATCAGAGAAGCCCCGCTAACTTTGACCTAGACCAAGGGTATGGCTCTCGAGGATGTTGCCGAAATCTTCGGCGACGGTATCGTCCTCACAGACACCCGCGAAGAACAGATTCATCAGCGCTTCAAGCAATCTCACTATCGTACTGAAGTCCTCGACGAGGTGACCCGCGACGAGCCAATTCAATTGGACATGAAAGAAGGCTCAACAAAGGTCGAACATATACCATGAAAAAGCCAGAACAACTAGGCCAAAAGCAAGGCGGCATGTTGAAAATGGTGAATAATTCCTGAATGTTCTCTTGGAAAAGGTGTATATCACAAACCACCCCAGATGTGTCTGTCGCAGCAAACCAGGGTCTATGCTACTAGGATTTTCAAATAGTGGGAATGATAGAAGCACGGATGAGGAGAAAGAGATATAACATCGTCAATATTCAGCGGGGGCAGCTGTAAAGCAAATACCCACACGGGTTTACACAGTGGCTGAGTTCATAGCTATTGCCAATGCTTTCCCGAAGCTCTGGGTAAATGAGATATGTTTTTCGACTCCGCTGTATTCTCCTATCTCCTTTGGTATTGGTATCCAGGTGTGATTCACGCGTCATCCAAGGCGCTTGGTTCGTGGAGGAGATATTCCGCCGGACCAACCTTTCACACCAACCACGTTCTCAAAGTATTGGCCACCACACTATAGACAAGAACCTCTGGTCTTCTTAATTATTGCTTGTTGAATGACGGCGACGCCACGAGTTCTGACCGCCATTGCCGATAATTCCTTCTCGACGTGTTGATGGTGGCCAACAACAAAACATGGGAGAGACTTAAGCGAGCCGCCACGCATAGAATCAGATTTGCCGGTATGTTCGAGGTACCTCGAATGTACCACGGTAAGCCGGTAGTATTTTCAACGTGACCATGGTCCTATTGGCTGTGTGTCTCCGGCTTCCACATGCCCACTTGTCTGCAGTACCGGTCTACCGAATAGCTCCCATGTCAGTCGTGGTACACGAGACCCAAGCAACCGTTGTTATCGTTACATCGATCCTACGGGAGCGGTGCGACTTGTCCATCTTTGTCGCCATCCTTTGGAGCCTTTTTCCATGGATGTATCATAGGAAAGTCGGAAATCCATGAGAGAAACGCTCTGCTCCAGATTAAGGATATTGGGCCTTTGCGCATCAAGAAATCATCAAATCGTCCCCAAGATTACGCAATTTATCAGAACTATTGGACGAGAATTTATTCCAAGGCTTACAATGAGCCGGTCACTCTGACTAGCAACTTCTACAGCCGCCACGAGGTGCCAGTTACTCTCACTTTCCCCAGGTACCTTATTGCGGATCTTCTGGGCTTTTCTAACAGAGTTCACTGACACATTCCAAGATTCCATGTCTCGGAACGATAACCAACTATCCTTATAACACAACCGGGATTTGACCGCCGTCTCAGTTACACGGGCAGCTTGCCAATGTTTTGTCTCGGTCTTTGCCGGCCACCGTGAGCAGCGACAGAACCAAGTCTATCCCGAGCTCCCCAGGCCATCAGGCATCACTAGGTTCTACAGTGGCAGGGCAGAGACACAAAATATTGAGACAATCAATTTCATGAAAGACCGGTCCAAGACACAAAGCTTAATGAAGTGGGCAGCAAGACTCAACTGATCTCGTTTGTTGTACCCTGGCTTGCCTGACTCTCACCCGGAATCCCGCATCTGCCAGCTATTGTCCATCTGCACGCTTCTATTCGCACTCATCACCTTGTTACCGTTCGATTCTGGAGGCAATCATTTCCGCTTCTCTTCATCTTGGAAGTCCAGCTGAGCAGGGTTCTGAGATTTTACGGATCAGCAGGCTGTTAGAGACCAGAACCTGGCTTCTCGACCTGCTCTCACAGCTGCGGGGATTCTATCGTAACGGTGAAGCCCTGTCAGCGTCGTGCTGCACCTGAACCTATTTTGGGTTACGAGGCAGAAGCAGGTGTCCGTCTAGATCAGCACTTTCTCTCCCTTCGAGCCAAATATTGCGATGCATTTGTGACTATCGCCATACATCTGGGCGTTCTAACCATGGTCTTTTGGACCTTCAATCAGTACTCGGAGTCTCTCTGCAGCATCTGTGGCAGCAGCAATGAAAATCTCACCGAATCCGTGATGGCATAGTCGAACAGTACACGGAAGCTCTCGACTTACGGCCAGCGCCCAGCTGAAATTGGGTATATCTTTACCTACCTGGTCATGCGGTGCGACAATGCCTGAGTACCGGCATGTTCGACGCACAACCGCAATGACGGTATTCCTGCAGCTCCGGTGAACTGTCTTGACGAGATATCGCCACATCTGGTGAAATTCAATCTCACTTTTCAGCGGTATCCCTTGCGTTTCTCATACTCGCTTGCATAATATTGGTCTAATCCTCAATCACACCTGCAGTCGGTGTAGGCGAGCCATTGATGCTGTGAAATGTGTTGCTTAATGACCGCCCACAAACAGGCGAAAATGCTACACAGAATCAGGAACCAGTGAACCATGGTCTGTGCCTGCTGGTAGAGGAGGCTAGACCGTCGTCCTCACGAAGTTATAAGTATCAGCAAGTTCCCAAGAGATTATGCCCCGAGCAGCTCGACAGGATTCATTCCGTCTTCCACTCGTTTCAAATCCCAGTGAACACGGCCCCGAGGCTTCTCGAATCTCGTCCACCATGTATCGTGGTCTTGTGGAATCGGCTTTATTGGCCAGCTCTGCCTTGAGGTATAGTGATTGACCCTACAATCCGCAAAACCAGCAAACTCAGTCATATCTAGCATCTTTGTTGCCGCCAACCCGGTCCTCCCTCGCGGTGACTCTTCGACTGGCTGGGGCACATCCTCCGGCTGGGGATATGGCTCTGGCGTTGGCAGCACACCGGTTGGAGGGTGTTCCGCAGGGCCTACTACCACCTTGACTATCACGTTGCCCGGCGGTCCAAGCTCTTGCCCAGCTCTCCCGCCTCCATCGACCATCACTGTGAGCACTTGTCCCGGAACCACCCCCGTGGGCGGAGTGTCTGGTTGCTCGACCTTGCCTCCGTCTACAATCACGGTAACAACCGGAAGCCAATGCCCTCCCACCACGCCAGTTGGTCCAGGGAATTCTTGTCCCACAGGTCCCCCAACCACGGTCACAGTGACTGCCGGGCAGAACTGCCCTCCGCCGTCCCCTGGCACTACCACAACCCTCACGGTGACCAGCCCAGGAACTTGTCCGACCTGCCCACCACCCAGCTCTCCAGTTGGCCCCTGCGCCACATCGACCGTGGTAAGCACACTGATCTCGACCACGACAGTTGGTGGTGGAGTCTCAACAACTACAGTCGTCATTCCAGCCCGGACCGTCACCGAGACCACCACTGTTGTGTCCACGATTCCCGGTCCTGGACAGACTACTACCGTTGTCTCCACCGTTCCAGGTCCAGTCCAGACAACCACCATTGTTTCTACCGTTCCGGGACCAGGTCATACAACCACTGTTATCTCTACGGTGCCGGGTCCAGGTCAGACTACCACTGTTGTCTCCACAGTGCGCGGTCCTGCAGAGACGACGACTGTCGTTTCCACTGTTCAAGTTCCAGCGTCAACCACCACTGTCGTTTCGACGATACCAGGCCCTGTTCAGACTGTCACCACGACCGAGGTCGGCCCAGGACAGACAATTACAGCCACCGTCACGAGCACTCTTACCGTGCCCAATGGACCACCATCTACCGTGACGACCACCGTAACCCAGCCTGGCGGCCCTGGGCAAACGGTCACCATTCCTGGGCCCACGTGAGTCTCATCTTGCTGAGGGCCACAACTTGCGATCGAGAGAGTCAACAGTACGGCTCCCATAGACATCTTCGGAGGCTGACGATAATGTTAGGACTACTGAGAAGTGCACCGACGTCGGTCCCGGTCAGACCATCACTGTTCCCGGACCTACTGTAACCACCGGACCTACCACGTAAGTCCCCCTTTGCCTTCGGGCTCTATCACTGCTGGACGGGTTGTTCTAGTTCGACGTCGTTGGACTTGAGAAGGCTAACAACACCTGTAGTACCGTCACCACCACGGAGAAATGCACCAACGTTGGACCAGGGGGCACCTCCACCTGCGCTACAGTCACCAAATGGTCGACGATCGGAGGGGGATACGGTGGAGACTACTCAACTGTGTCTGCCGCCTCGACTACTACGGGCTGGGGCCAGAGCGGGTGGAAACGACACTGGTAACATTGACGAATGAATGTAGACATGTCCAGGATGAACATTCGGATGAGCTGCTACGAAAAGGATAACGGATAGGACCCTTCCTCAGGACAATGACTCCCACTCTTGTCACTCTTTGATTGTCGAGGCAGGTTGAACAGAGTGGTGGAACAACATAACACAGAGGAAATAATGCGAATGAGAAAGATCTTTGACTACATCAATCCTGTTGATGGGAAAGAAATCGTCCCAGCGTACTGATTCCGATTCCTTTCTGGCCTTTTCCGCTGTCAAATCCTTGATTTATGACCCTTATCTACCCTGTGTCCGTAGCGCTGGAAGAGGTGGTCGAGGTTGGAGGCTTCACGAGACTATATAATGGAGAGATGAGAATGAGGACAAACATGGGAATCAAGACTCGTTCGAGCCGTATCTCCTGATGCACAGGATTACGAACAGACAAACTCGCCGGGGCCGGTCTTGGCAAGTATGACATGTTTTACGCATATGGGCGAAAATGTGATTGGAGGGGCGACAACTGCGGCCCAAATTTTCTACCATGCCACCATGCGCCTCTCAAACCTTGCCAACAAAACCCCCTCCACCAGTCTGAAAAGACATCTTAAGTCTTTTCTTTCTCTATTGTCTTCTTTTCTGGCTCGGACTCTATAATCCAAGTCCAACGTGCTACAAGTGCTGTCCAACCCCGACGAATAGATTTCGTCCAAGACGCAGCCTCCGTCCTTTCGGTTGTTGATCGATTTCCACCCCACCAAAAAGCCTGATCCTCGTCGCTGAGGCTGCGTTCCTAATCACCTTTTCCGCACACACATCCTTCAATTATGCCCGTCTCCGCTTCCAAAGCCGCCCGCCTGGCCAAGAAGGCCGAGAAGGCTGCTGAAAAGGGTGACAAACCCGAAAAAAAGACCGTCGCCTCCAGGTTGTCCTCCAAGGCGAATTCCAAGAATCCTTCAACAAACGGCTCGAAAGCCTCGTCAGTTGCCGGTGATGACGATCCCCCTATGCTCGACGAGGATGAGGAAGATGCACCCGCCACAAGCGCCGACAAGATGGACAAGGTCAAGAAACTGACTGAACAAATGGACAAACACGGTCTCTCCGACCGGGTCACGACTGGTGTGCTAGCCTCCCAGGAAGCCAGCCGGGACGTCAAGATCACTTCCGCCTCTCTAGTGTTCCACGGTAAAGTGCTTATCACGGATTCCACCATCGAAGTCAATTTTGGCCGCCGATACGGTCTGCTCGGAGAGAACGGCTGTGGCAAGTCAACCCTGCTAAAGGCTATCGATAAGCGAGAATTTCCTTTTCCGGAACATGTTGACATCTACCTGCTGAATGAAGGCGCCCCTCCCACTGACCTTGGGGCTCTCGAGTGGGTGATTAAAGAGGCGGAGAAGGAAGTCAAACGACTTGACGACCTTGCCGAGGAGATCCTGGAAAAGGAAGGCCCAGAGAGTTCCACACTGCTCGAAATCTATGAGGTAAGTTCACAGGGACGACATCAAAATCCACCACTGCTAACATCTCAATAGCGTGCAGAGGCAATGGACCCTAGCACGTTCGAAGTTCGAGCCTCGCTTATCCTGACCGGTTTGGGTTTCAACAAGAAGACCATTCACAAAAAGACCAAAGATATGTCCGGTGGTTGGAGAATGCGAGTGGCGCTGGCCAGAGCTCTCTTCGTCAAGCCATCCCTCCTCCTTCTGGACGACCCGACGGCTCATCTTGACCTCGAGGCGTGTGTGTGGTTGGAGGAATACCTCAAGAAGTGGGATAAGACCTTGATCCTGGTTTCACACTCGATGGATTTCCTGAACGGCGTCTGCACAAACATGATTGATATGCGGCAAAAGAAGTTACTTTATTATGGTGGCAACTACGATTCCTACATCAAGACCCGGACGGAACAAGAGACCAATCAACAAAAGGCATACCTCAAGCAACAAGAAGAAATTGCACACATCAAAAAATTCATTGCCTCTGCCGGTACATATGCTAATTTGGTCCGACAAGCCAAATCAAGGCAGAAGATCTTGGACAAAATGGAAGCAGACGGATTCATCCAACCAGTCGTTCAAGATCGAGTGTTCACATTCAGATTTGCTGATGTTGAAAAACTGCCTCCTCCGGTTCTCTCTTTTGACGATGTCACATTCAGCTATTCCGGGAAGGCTGAAGACAATCTGTACGAGCACCTCGATCTTGGAGTGGACATGGACAGCAGAATGGCCCTTGTGGGACCCAACGGTGTGGGTAAATCGACGTTGCTGCGTATCATGACTGGCAAACTCTCCCCGACTGGCGGCTCGGTCAGCAGACACACCCACCTGAAGCTGGGACTTTATTCACAGCACTCGGCGGATCAGCTCGACTTGACCAAATCAGCACTCGACTTCGTGCGAGACAAGTACTCCTCCACATCCCAAGACTACCAATACTGGCGCCAACAGCTCGGCCGCTATGGTCTTTCCGGTGACGCTCAGACTGCTTTGATGGGCACACTTTCCGAGGGCCAGAGATCTCGAGTGGTTTTTGCTCTCTTGGCCATTGAGGGCCCCAACATGCTCCTGCTTGACGAACCTACCAACGGTCTCGATATTCCAACGATTGATTCTTTGGCTGACGCTATCAATGCCTTTTCCGGCGGTGTCGTAGTTGTCTCTCACGATTTCAGGTATGTTTCCACCACCGAGAGATTAGACTTGAGGACCAGGCTGACTATTTGACAGGTTGCTTGACAAAATCGCCAAAGACATCATGGTGTGCGAAAACAAGACTGTCCGACGATGGGACGGGTCGATTGGCGAATACAAAAATTACCTTCGCAAAAAGATGGTGTCGATGGGACAAGTTTGAATTTCCAAAGCCGCACGAACCGTGGCCCTCCTTCTCACGTCTGGCACTCTTCTGCAAGCGTGAGGACAGGCATTATGGTGTTTGCTTTAGATTGATGGTTGGGTTACGACGTGGCTTCTGAGCCACCTTGTGGGTCTTCATGATTGATGCACCTCATGTTTTGTGTTCGAGCAGAGAAAAGACCATGTGGCACTGCAGGCGTCAGATGGATAGATGGACTTGGTTTGGGATATTTTGACTGACGACGGGAGGAAATGAAGCACGGAACATGATGGACATGATGCTTCCGCGCACCATGTTCTGGATTCCACTGTTGTGTCCGCTTGATGACGATGACGGGGACTTGCGGTCATGACACCGGCATAGCATGGGAGAGACGGCCGGCCGATGGATGTTCATGACTGATGAGGCCGGCACATGATTGTGAACCTCTTCCATGTGTTCTCCACCTCTGATTTCTTGCCCGTTGCTTCAGCCAAATGCATTGCGATAGAGCTCGTCGCTTAATGAGACATAGACCTAAGTTGAATGGCAAAGTATCTTACGAGACACACGGTCACTGTCCACGCCACAAAACTTCCCCACCTTGCTGCTTACACGTGCGTTGATGCTCCATATCATGATCGAGGCACACGCGTCGAGATGAGGAGAACTGGTCACTGACTGGTTAAGTATATGAACACGAGACGGCGTCGACTCCGCATCTCATCTTCATCTACCCCGTCTGCTTGACGCAAGACGACCACCCCGATCAATACCGGAGGTACATAGATTTGATGCACCTTTGAATTTCAATTGCACCCCCCATCTATTTGGGCAATTCCCTCCCTAGCTGCTCGCTCTCTATCTACCCATTTCGATTTGCACCTGGTCAGTCTACGAGGTCTTCATCGGAGATATAGAGAAACCATGTCAACCCCTAGCGGGAGCGAGAAGCAAAACCCGCGCCCAGTTCATGTGACGAGGGCAGATCAGGTCAAGACAGGGCATGGACAGACGGACGGGATGATCCGACAGGTATGTTGCACAGGCATTTAACTCAATACCTGGCTTTAGGGGGGACTGTTCGGTTCGTGACGAGACAAAACAACGAGAGTCACTTTTCTGTACGTGGATTGGACATAGACAACACACCAAGAGAGCGATCTCCGTTGCTGTCGCCATTGGCGAAGAAATGCAAAGACCACCATAACTCTTTTCCCGAGTGAAGAGAGGACATCGACGCACGAGATGACTCGCCACATCCCCTTTATTCTCCCCTCTGGGACCGTCTCGAGTTCCAGAAGTCCCATTTCAGACCCATCCCATTCTCGCCGTCGTTATGGGAGCCGCTCACTGACTCTGGCGCACACACAGTCCGCGATTGTCGAGCTATCCCCATCCATTTGCGGCACGCTGATGCGCGCACAACCACACTCCGCCTCAGCGGTGCACCATCACGGCACCCAAGACACCATCGTCTACGCAGTGAGTGGCTACGGCTCCCTTGTATCGTCGTCTGGCAAGAGCAAAGATGGTCCGTTTGGAGATGTCAGGCAGGATCTCAAGCCGGGAGACTGGGCCCTGATCCCGGCATACAGGGAACATCAGGAGGTCAACGACGGCGACGAAGAAGTTGTCTGGGTCATTGTCAGGGCGCCGGAAGGAGTTCCTATCGTCGAGAACTTGAAGGGCTGGGGTGGAAGCTTGGAGACCTAGTGGTTGGCTGGTAGGTAGGGGAGGGCAGGTATACCACAGCCATGGGCTGGGCAAACAGACAACGCGGAAAGCTACAATATACCGATATCGTCTGTGGTAGAGACGCTAGCCCGTGAGAGGTTGGTCCAAGGCTTCAACCAGCATATGTTTAGGCTGTCCTTCCAAAAAATATTGGCGGACCACCTGCTCGACCGAGTGTGAGCACACGAAAGCTCAGTCCTCATCTTCATCGTGGCTTGCTTGGTCCCCGTCAGCGTCCTCTTCGTCCTCTTCCTCGTCTTCATCAAGGTCATCGTCCTCGTCATCCTGTTCGTCCGACTCTTCTGCATCGCCACCGACTATTCCGTCCCAGCCGGCTTCGTCAACTTCTACCTCTCCTTTCAGATCCCATCGATCACCTTGCGCTGCCTGGCTCACATACTTGACAAACCTCAGCGTGCCCTTGTCCCTAAGCACCATACTGAACTTATTCCAACCAGGGGAGCTCGCAAACAGGATGCCATCATCCTCATCATCTGTGGCTTTGTAGATTGCAGGATCGTGGGCAGGCTTCTTGCCGACATTGGGTAGGGACTTCGAGTCATCTTCATTTGGCAATCCGTCTTCCTCTTCGTCACCCGCCATGTAGACTTCTTCACCACCGAACTCGATCCCAGATACCGAGGAGACTTGAATCTTCTCGGTTGTAGCAGCGTTGCCATTGGCTTGCTTTTGGACCTTCGCGGTTGTCGGCTTGCTATCGTCTTCGTCGTCCGCGCCTCCATCTCTTTCCCACCCTTCGCTGGAAGTGATGGAAATCGTGAATTCCAAGCGGGGCGTTTCGCCTTGGTAAGGGTTTGCAAGTGCATAATCCTTTCCTCTTCGAAATCTACGGGCGATCGCGCTCTGGCGGATGAGACTCTTTGTCTTGAGTCCTGTCACAAGTGCAAGCCACTTCTTGAATGCATGCGAGTGAATCAGATCAGCCAGGATTCGGGAGATGGGGCAGTGGTCGCGGTGCAAGGCCTCTGCAGTCTGCAGGTACGCATAGCGTTGTTTATGTGGTGGTCGAGCAATTCTCCAAGTAGAAGGGTGGTGATCTCTCGATGACTCTGGGATCGCATGCTTTTCTTCACTTTCCACCTTATGCACATAATCCTTCAACTCGGCTGCGAATCGCGCATTGAAAAACTCCTCTAGTTGAAGCACTGACATGTCGACGAATGAGGACGCGAACTGCTCAATCATATCTGGAGTCAGATAACTTGGTGTCATATAATGTAGCAAGAACGTCAAGTCTTGCTCAGTGAGTATTGTATCATCGGTGTCAAGATCGTCGCCTGGGTCAATCTCCCGCGCCGCAGCCCGACTATCCATGACAGTACGCGGCTCGTCGAAGTGACGGAACACCAGTCGAGGCTCGTCAAACTCATTCGAGGTGCTCTTCAGCTGCGCGAGGCTGGATTTCTGAGCCTGCTCTTGTTCCATGCCTTGTTCAAAGCCATCCTCGCCCTCTTGTGGTATGTGGTACCAGCCGCTGATTGCCATACGGATTCTGCCTCCATCTTCTTCCAGGTTTTGTGAGTGGTAGACTTCTTCCACGTCGTGATAACTCTCGCCAGGCCGAACGGCGAAGAAACTCAATTGGCCGAAGGAGGGTGGAATGTTCAAACTATGTTCAGCGAGAGGGACTTTCACTTGCTCTCCAGCTTTGTTTCTTTTGATCTCCGTGGGATACAGTCTGAGGCCGCCACCCCATTCAGGTTGCCAGGGATGATCTGGATCTGTCAAATACAAGATGTAGCTGACTCTTCGACTCCCAATCACATCATCATGGCACAGCAAATAACTTCCTGGTGTGTAGACGTTGACCGCCATGTCGGTTTTTGTGCCCGACACTTTCCCAGCGCCCGTGACGGCAGACACCCATTCTCGAAATTCTGAGCTATAGAGAGCATCTCTCAGGCGGACTAGGCTGGGCAGGTGTTTGAGGGACTCGGCATCAAGATTGGAGAGGTTTGCGAGGTCACCGGATTGGTGAATGCGGTAAATGTCTGTCTCCTTCAGGGTGAAATGGATATGAGTGGTGATTTCCTGCCGCACGGAGCGGAGGAGAGGTTCTTGGATCAATGAGGATACAACGGCATGCGGGTAAGGCTTCGACGATCGGTAAGATTCGCGGAACGCTTCTCGAGTGTCAGGCTCGAAGAGATCTGATCGAAAGGTAGACTGAATGTCGCTGTCATCGGTAGATATGACACGCCTCTTCGGAGAGGAATCCCCATCCTCGGGTGCTTTACGTTTCATTGTAAAAATAGACAAATCGAGGTTCCAGCAATGTTGTCAGCCCAAAATACAAGTACGGAGGTGTGATCAATATCCCGCAAATATTGTGTCAGTGCGCGGTGAGAGTGCTTGCGGAGTTTGCTCAGGCCACTTGCAACTTTTTTTTTCTTCCCCCGCAACATCAGACCTGGCCAATTATCGTTCCAGACTATCGGCGGCAAGGGCCGTATACTTAACAATGGCACGAATGGATATCAACTCGGGGAAACATGCATTATAATATTCCATGGCAACCGTGCCAACATTTTGTCCAAGATTAAACATGCATGCATGATTTCATGGCGATGGCCATTTCCCACGACGCCAGAATATCTCCTCTGGGTATCCTAACATAGAATGCGCTCAAAGTGCTCATTATTCGTAACCATGCCAAAATAGAGAGCGGCGCTGAGCTCCATATTTATCATGAATTGCCTGTAGATCATGAAAGTTGTATTCTCCAGATGCTTCAAATGATTGAAATAGCCGCAGGGAGCTCAGAGCGTCGTCTTCCATTTGTCCTTGTCTTTGCCAACCCTGCCAAAAGGCTTATGAAACTTGATCTTTGTGTTTGGCACAGACTTCATGATTTGAGGTTCTAATGCCGCTGGGACAGTCGTCTCTTTCGACCCCCACGGCGTTGTATCGTCGTCAAAAAGCATGCTTGCCCTCAAACCCAGCCGGTCCCGAGAGCTGTCCGGCCGTTTCTCTAGGTCTTGTTGAATCCGCGATCGACTCGAGTCCCGGGACTGTCCTGTTGCATCATCGGGTAAAACCAGCTCTCGAGCCTCTCCAGCCAAGAAAGCGTCATTGAGCTTCGTTCCTGATTTCTTCTTCCCAGCAGTTAGGGGACTCAATAGATCGGATCCAGAGGAAGACAAGGCCACCAGTAGATTGGTCATGTCATCGGCACCCCGTCCCACTGGGGGTTGCAGCTCGAGGCGCGGTGGAGCGGTTGGAGACACATCTTGGGGACGTGCGGGTGACGAGGTCAGGTATGGCAGAAAAGCTGCGGTGTGGGGTCTATATTGAGACTCCGGAGGCTGCATCCCAGCATCGGCATAACGAGCACTATTTTCGACAGAAATGTCGGTAGACAGCTTGCAGGAACCCTCCTCTCCGCCTTGGCCTCGAGTGATAGCATGAGGATTGAGCAACCCGTATTCCCTCGTCGTCGTTGCTGCAAATGTTGCACAACTGGCAGGCGGTTGATCCATGCTTGAGGGAGTTCGAGGCTCCCGTGTCAGATCTTGGGTATGTGAATAATGAGATCTTGTACTGGCCAAACCAGATCCACGACAAGGATTGGAAGGCATGTCGGAAACACTTTCAGCCAGACTAAATGCGGATGACGATGTGAGTGGAGGGGAAAAGATCGAGGCGTCGGTTCTTTGCTGCGACGCCAGATCCTGAGACGAGTTGGTTGAACGAGTGTAAAACCTCGTGCGGGAAGAGGCTCCCTGGGAGCCAATTGAGCTGGCAGGGGCACCAAAAGAGGAACCGGTTGTTGAGCTCGAGTTTCGGCTTCCCACGTTCGTGCGGCTTTTGTCTTTCCCATTGTCACTGCGAGCCTTGGAGTTTGTGAAGAGAGAAGATTCTTTCCTATTTCGTTCCTTGTCTTTTTCCTTCTCTCTCCGTTCCCTTCGTTTTACGCTCTCTGGGATTCCATCCCATTTTGAGTTAACCTTGGGGACAAACTCGGGCATCTTTTCCAACCTCACATTGGGAACCTTGGTGGCGCTTGTTGACCCATGTTGGGCAATCATCTGAGTTGCGACTTGGTTCAAGGCAATTTGAGTTGGCTCTCGAACTTGGAAGAGGCCACCTAGGATGGAGGGCTTCTTCTGTGGCATTGAACTAGATTTGCGACGTGTCTCTTGCGGGATTTGAGGAGCCTTGTTTGCTTGGCTGGTCAGAGCCGCTTTCTGGACCTCCTTCTGAGCCGCTTCCTTCTGGGCCGCTTCTCGAAGCTCGCGGATAGTAAGACGTGGCCTAGGTTGCTTGGATTCCGCATCTTGATCAGGCTGACCGGCCATCTTGTCTTTATGTTCCCGTGATGTGATGTCTGAGGTGTGATATTGGTTCGGACCACTCAGATCGCGCAAGGGCGAAAGATCATGGTATAACAGACCATTGGTTATGTCTTGTTGAGTCTCTATCTTTTGGATGCTCGATGCACTTGCTGGCATGACCACGACGATGTGGCCAGACGGTGGTAGAGGCACAGGTCGTAGAACTGATTAACATGACATGGCAATGACCGAAGGAGTGGCAGTCCCAGCCAGCGGCTTGTGCACGGGATCTTAGTACGATTCCCTTCGGTGCAAGAGACGTGGTGGGCTGGATATTCTTGAGTCGGACCTGAGTACTTCGCTCTGGACGTCGCGCACATGAGAGGATTCAGAGGGCCTGAGCCTATGCATTAGCGAGCACACCAGGTGAGGGCAAACCCTGGAGGCACAAGGAACTTTATCGAACCAGGAGATCCAGGACACAAAATGAGTATGGAGGATATCCAGGTGAACGAGAATGGAGCGTTACGACGCAGGATGCAAGAGGAAGCTAGATCGTTGGATTTCCCCGTTAACCTAGAGATCATCCTGGATCGTCGATGGTAGATTGGGCAAGACTCGGAAGGGGGTCTTCGGTGGCGGGCTTGGATCGACCTCTGCCACCCTCAGCCAGGGATTGAGCTGAGAGGCGGCTCTGACCGTGGGGAAAGTAAATGCACATCATGGGCAAATGTAGGTGGAGGCTAGGGTTAAGGCAAAACAAAGCCACGATGCAAGGATCTAAAAGAGCAGGTACGAGTACGTGTGGAGCTGCAACGGGAAAACGTGGTGTTCGATTCTCAACAAGGCGGATGACACATGCAGCCAGCAGAAGGGGGAAATAAAGATCGATGATCAGTACAAGCACAAAGTCAAACAAAGTCAAACAAAGTCAAACAAAGTCAAACAGAATCAAGAGTGGTTGGCTACCGTTGATTATGATCTCCAAGGGTGTTCTTGCTAGATTCTGCCACCTGTGAGGGAGCGAGAGGGAGCGGGGAGCTTGTGTTCGGGGTCTGATCCTGGGCTTCATTATTGGCTAGAAACAACGTAAAAAGGCCCTGCGGTGCCTGGAAACAGAGAATACATATGCCCTTTTCCATCCCCCTTTTCTCGCTACGGTTGCGATTTTCGAAGCTCCGCATGCCGAGAGAACCAGTGACCTTCAACCTCTTTTTCCCGTCCTCGGCGACTTTCACTGAAATGGCGATACTCGATATTTGTCGCTTTGTTCTAGTGGTCCGAGCTACTAATTCCATTCCGACTAATAGAATCTACCCGAACCGTAGTTCTGTGATGGGACACCAGACCACCACAGAGGATTTTTCTCCCTCTGGCAAACGACAACTTCCTTCCTACCATATCCCCTGCGATTGTCTGCTGTCTCGGCGTCTGGCATTTATGCGGGAAATGACCCGAAAGAGGATGACAGGTTGTGGAATCAACCAGCAACGACTCCACCAGGTGGTTTGACAGGGACGCCATTCACAAGTCACAGAAGGGAAGTCTATTAGTCAATCCAACCACGCACCCGTCCAATGAAGCGCTGTTCCTCGCACGCTCATCACTTCCAGGAAAGACAAGGATTGAATACGTTATGACTTCTTTCTCAGATGGGAAGCACCAACACCCCCCATGGATGGTTGGCGAAATACGAGATACTCGTCAAATTGACCAATGCGCCAGGCACACTCACACGTGGCAAAGAACCACATGGTACGGGGTGGAAGGGGGACAAGCAGCATGCACCTGCATAAGAACGGAACCCTCATGACGCTCTTTGAGGGCAGTCATCCGAAGCAAAACAGGTCTCTGGTTCCTATCTATGGATACCATCTGTCCACCTAAAAGGACTACTGGAACCTTGTGCAGTGAGTGAGCGCAAAGTCTGGTGGTGGTTGTCCCCAGCAGAAGTATCTGTAGATACTAAACGAAATGGAGTCCGTGCCTACGAGGTATCTCATGTACCTGTACTTGTGGTCAGTACAAGGAGGTTTCCCTACAGCGCACTCCTGTAAGCCTACGAGACTTCAGTCCAGGAGCTACCACAAGCACCCTTGTCAACACCTATTCATGCCACTGCCGCCCTGTAACAAATAAATATCCTGAGAGAGAAAAGTCTCGATCCGCTTTTTGCTTGGAGATGATTGTCAGATTGACACCAACCTTTGTGTTTTCGCAGAGAGGTAGACTACTGGCTGCAAGATGTTTGTCAAGATCAGGGTTGTAAAGTGGCAAACTCAAAACCACTAATTTTTCAATTCCAAAGTCTCTGCTCCCTTTCTTTTCCCTTAGTGAGTGTTTATCGTCACCAATTTATTACAAACCCAGCATCTGAAGCGCAAATCCAACTCCACGACCTTGTTTCAACGCAAGATCTGTTGTTGCGGCTCCAACACCGCTAAAATTTCGGCAAAGTTCGGTTCTTGCCATAGGCTCCCTCCGTGCCTCCATCGTCTACAGGCAGTTGTCTCCCATCCCCTCCCTCCTCTGCGTGCATGTGCACGCATCAAATTAACCATGACCGACCACAACAAACAAGACATAGGCGACAAGGTTTCGCAGCCTGTCTTACCCTTTTCCACGCCAGCACAATCCCAGACTACCGTTGTTGAGCACGAGCCAAGCGGCAGTCCTCAACGTCCATCTTATTCACCTGTTACGCCGACATTGTCCCATACCAGCTTGGCCTCCCACGATGCGGTAGGAGACCTACCACCTGCACAATGGATGGACGAACCACCAGAACCTCTTCCAGTCAGCTTAGACGATAACCCAGACGCAATGGCCTTGCGAGCCGCCTTGTCTATCCTCCAAATCCAGCGGCAGCAGGCTCTACGGGATATGCAAGAGTTGGACAGAATGAAACAGGCTGCTTTAGACAACCCCGAACAATTTATCAAAGAGCTTCAGGCGGGAACACTCAGCCGCTCGCCCCGGTCTGGCGTAGAAGTTGACGAGCCAGACTCTATGGCAGCCGAGGACGGCGAAACCCAGGCGTCCAGATTTGGCCGCTTCCCACCCGCTCAAAACATCGTACGCACTCCCCCTGTAGAGTGGGCAAAATACCACATCGTCGGCGAGCCTTTGGATCGAATACACAAGAGGCAGCAACAATATCCAGGAGCTACGGACGAAGCACTCGAAGCTCCGGATCGCGTTCAGCCTCACTCGATTGCAACTCCGTACCGTCCATTCGTGGATAAGCTGAGCCAGGCACGAGGTCCGTCGAATTATCGTAATTCGGGATCATGAACATTTGTTTCCTCTACGTTCGGGCACTTTGTCGTTTCATGATACAGCTCGACATCATCACCGCCGTCGAGCCCCTTTGGGAAAACTCCCTTACCACCAGCACATCTTGCCATGCCCTTTTCAGTCACCAAAGGCCAGTGCTGCCATTTCCATCGCAACCGTGTCATGGAAACTATGTGTATTGGACAGTCCCCATGATTTACGACATACCTGCATAGGTAGACCCACGTCGTTGGAGGCGACAACTTCGACCTTTTTTTCGCCCTCAAAGATGTGTCTCTGGTTGACTACTTCTTGAAGGAGCATCTGTCTGCCAGGGCCAGGTACCTCTTATAAGTTTCTTTGTGCTTGGCAATCTCCAACCTCGCAGCAGCCACGCACAAAGGGCAGCGTGGACCTTCAACCATAGCAGCTTTGCTTGCTTTGAGTCCCTGCACTTCCATGGGATCCCCTCCCCATCCCCCCTTATTGTCCACATGCTCGGTGTCGATAAACTGGAGACATGTATAGCAAAGGCGATAATTTCGAGGCACAGAGTCACGGAGCCTGACAAGAATTTGCAGACGATGAGTTCGGACGGAGCGCTTGGGGACAAGATGGTCATAGTCCTTCTTGTTCTTCTCGGCTTTCAATTGTTCATACGTGGCGGCTTGGCTCTTGCAGGTGAGGGCCAAAGCGGCGCGGTCTGCATTGAGTGGCAGGGCTTTGAAGATCATGGCTCGGACTTCATGTGGAAGTTTGGTGAGATTGTGCTCCTGGTTTTGAATGATTCCGCTCTTGTAGATCTGGACCACATTCTGGTGAGTTCATTGCGCTGATGATTTGAGTCAATAATGCTAACCTTTGCAGGGATAATTGGGACTTTGAGACTCAGGCGAAGCTTCTTGAGACGGTTGGCAATCTTCTTTTGTCTTCTAGCAGACTCCATCGCCTTCTTAAACTCTTTGTACTCTTTTCCCAGTGCTGTTTCCGCTTCAGCGATCCTAGCAAAGGTCAGTCAAATGTGAAGATAACAGAATAATAAGAAATTAAAGGTCCTCACTTACTGCACAGGTGTCGGCGTAACAACGGGCATAGCGAGGTGATGATGGGTCGAGATACAATTTCGAAAGAACCCAGGTTAAGTAAGATCACTTTCTGAAAAGACGTTGTCTGAAATGTTATGATCGAGGCATATCACAACTTGTGAAGGAGGGAAGAAGAAGGTGAGTTTGAGAGAATAGTCACCAGATTGCGGCGACGACACTCAGCGATGTGATAAAGGCGACCTTGACAGTATCACTGTTACAATAGAAGGTTAAGTGATTTCTGAAGTCATCTCACTCGGACTTGCTGTGCCATAGTCGAACTGTCAAATAGAGTCGAGAGACCAAGTCCACCGAAAGGTTCGAGACGGATATTTCCATGCCATGGCGTTCACTTGCAGGTCGCTTGGGTCAGCGCTCTACACATGTGATTGTCATCGACTGGACAACAGCTTGCGGGACTTCTCGCTCTTTGGAATTCCTGGGATTCGTCCCCTCCCAACTCCGAACAGTTGCATCTTACAACTTGAGTAATCGCACGCGGTCCATCATCACTATTCGTTCGGCCTTCCTCGAAGTCTTTGCCTATATGGAGTTCCGATTAAACGTTGACAACCTTGAGATCAGTCACACGAGTATGCTTCGATTGCGTCTCGATTCAGAATGCCTCTGCGGATATCGATTACTCTACTCCTTCACCACAATTTGTTACGTGGAGCCAGAGGCATGGGAGTTGCGGTTAGCCGATTGAAGCAATTCCGATGCTGACGTCTAGACTCAGAGCACCTAATAGAGACTACTGCGACGGTAAATTTGGTATTTTGGACAAGAAGTCCCTACAGTCTCAGGACTAGTTCAGCCTTACCATCAGCAGCCACATGTCCTGACGGCAAAGACGAGGCTGACTCCGATGACGTCAACGCCCTACACATGCCACCCACATGCCATGCCACAAGTACGATGATCAAGAGCTATGACACAATCGACGAAATCACAGAACATTCACTCGTACCACTGGGAAATTATAGCCTCTTGCGTCCCTTTGACCTGGTCCCCGAGGATAGATCTCGTAAATTTCACAGCAATCGAACTGATCATCGCCCTACTGGCATCAAGTTGACACCCTCTGTTGCTGTGCATTCCTGTAAACTCGTGTTAGAAAAGAGATTCTTCTCATAACAAGATTCCTGTCCACCAGCGTACTCCCAGACCCCCTCAACATTCAAGATACCACGATGTCCAACCTCGATCCCCATGCATCTTCTCAGCCAACTCAACAGACAGGCTTGAATCAAGGTCAAAACCCTGCCTCGAAGACAGCTCAAGAACAAACTGCAGCACAAGACACTTCCAGCGCCCAGTCCAAGACTGTTGACCGCCGTTCAGCTCATGATGTAACTTCTGAACACGGCGAAGTTGCAAAACCCGGTGCCTTGGGCTCTGGCGAGCGTGGTCCCCTCACAGAGAAACGAATTCCCGAGTCTGACGCGCAAAACTACTCCAAAGGCGACAGCAATTTAGAGGGCGAGCAAATGCGGATGCCAGGCGAGGGCGACGTTGCAAGAGCCGTGCGAACGGGTGGTGGTGGGGGATACGGTGAAGAAGAGAGTCTGACACAGAACATAGACAAGAAGGCGGCCGAACATGAGCAGGAGTTACACAGACGGGGAGAGCGAACTGGGAAAGAGATCGAGGAAGAAGCGCAGGAAGATTGGACTGGGAGGAAAGCGGACATTGCCAGTGCACTGGGCCAAGGCAGAGAGGATCGTGACGAGGCAAGTCGTCCGGCTGTGGTTTTGGCTGCGGAGGAGTAAGTGGAGAGATATCGAAGCGTTGACCTGTGGCCTTTCGCTGCGACCATTATTGACAGGGACCAGCAAATTAATTCTTGAGGCGCCTACAGGCAGAGAAACCATGCGTGCTAAGCACAACCCGTGCGTTGCGTTCTCCTCTACTATGAACTTGGATTTTCTTCGCTCGGCTGGTAATTGTCGTTGCTCCTGCGCCCTGTACCATGGATGCGGTCCCCTTTTGACATTTGACCGAAGGAATTTCATGGTATGATACCCGGCAGTCCTGCACTCACCTCGCTTGTGGATCTGGTAATTTCCCGTATATATTTTAACAACCACCAGAGTGACTGTTGCGAGGGACCGCCCCAGCTGCAGACTGCATGCAGCAGGTGACGCTGATAGCTTTGCAGCCATGCAGAGGACAAACATCGCGTCTCGCCCATAAGTCAACAGTATCGGCTTTGTGTTTGTCGCCTAGACCCTTGTTCGCCGAGCTCGGACGACAATGGTGAGAGCAAATTGTCACGCTTCCGGGAACAAAGCCATCACATTCGCTTCGACAAACAAAAGAAAGCCCTCGTCCGATTTCTCGGGAGTCACCTGAGAGGCGTGAGGGAACGTCAACGCCCCAAATGCACATTGAGTGAGAAGCGGGATTTGCTTGCGAGGCACGATGCAGGCCCCCTCGATCCCCAAAGCCTTGAGATGCGCCAATCCCAAATTCGACAGGCATTCGACGTCAAAAATCCAAGTGAGAACATGTGTTGGTACACGTCCTACCTCTTCATGACATGCGGGCATGTCGCCTTTTCCAACCACCCTCTCGCAAACTCGAAGTGCCCACACGAATCTTCGGAGACGAAGAGACAACAGACGACGGGAGCACACAGGAGGAGACCCCAAGGCGTCCAGCAAACCCAGGCCGGCGCAAAACCTGTCTCATCGATCGAGGCCACAAGCTCGCCTTCACCCCTACGCTGCCCTGACAAGCTAATCCATCCACTGCGGACCTTTAGCATCAACAACCTCTGCCCAGCATGTCAGGACGAGCGAGATGCTCGAATGAATATTTTTGAAGCACATGTGCGCGAAGGCCTAGGGAGGCGGAGTCTCGCACAATCTGCATGGCGACTTGAGAAAGACCCGGATGCGACACGAGGGAGGTCGTTTCCGACATCCATGACATTGACCAAGTTGAACTCGGGAATGGAAAACCCGTGCGGCGGCTCTCGGCCTTCAACGCCGAGACTAACAGCGGAAAGGTTAGGTCCAGTAGAAGCAGTTCGGCCCGAACCTCGAAAGCAGCAACAGGGTGTCGGCGAGGGAATACTTCACTGGGAGAAATCGACGCCCAAATCCCCCCAGCAACATGTGTCTCCGCCTTGCTCCGTACCGCCACCAAGGTTGTCATTTGCTGCGTTATCGAGTATACCTGAGAAACCGACCTTCGACGGAGGCTAGGTGAGGTCCTGTGGGGTTTGAGGATTTTGTCAAGCAGGTGCAAGTTCCAATGATACCGGAAACACTTCGACATAGACGCCTTGAATGCTCAAATGACTTGTGAAGATAATGAGGGTAGAGACGCAAGATTGCGCTCATGGATTGCAACAAGAACAGGGGATGTCCGCGATCCTCGGGCCTTGGTGTTTATCATGATGCGCGGTTCCAGGGCTCGCCGCTTTCATACACTTACTCTCTCAAATAAAATCCTCGGGGTCTCTCATTTTGGCCGCAACACTGCTACAGCTCTAAGAGGTAGTCTCATACGACTAGGTAGCGTATACCTATTGGGCTAGTCACATACCGCTCATATATACTTTGCTCGCAGCTGGCTAATCAGTCTTACGTCGTCTTCAGAAGGCGCCGCTGCAATGATGCTGTCGGCAAGACCAAGCATCTCTGGTTCCCACTTTGGCAGTGCTTGGGGGTTATTGCGCACACTCGGTACTCTCGTCGCAACCCAAAGCAGCCCGGTCAGCACGAAACTGGGCGCCGCGACACCGAGATAGTATATCCATCGGGGTATGACATTATTTCCCAGTTTCTGGACCAGCGCAAGCCCTTCCTTGACCGCTCCTGCAATGAGACTTGCTTCTTCCCATGTCACTCCCGATTTCTTCTTGGCAGCCGCAACGGCCGCGCTCATGGCACCAATGACAAGGGCGGCGTGTGTGCGTAGCCAGCTCTGCATATCAGGCTCGTGGACGCATTTGATCCCGGCTGAGGAGAAGATGGAGCGCCATTTGGGTGATGAGATGATGGTAATTTGGCCGAAACTCATAAATTGGTGCACTAATGCTCCGTGGTGGAAATAGGCCAAAATCGCTGGAAATCCCATGATGCAGCGTTCCTTTCCCAAAACGTCGAAGTATCTGTCCAGTGATGCAAATGTGTTGAACATGAACAGAATCTCGGTTGACTTTGAACATGTCTTGAGCGTGGCAAACAATTGCTCGTCAAATTGGTGCTCAGTGATGGTCAGGAGGACGAGGTCCCAGGGTTGTGCAGTGTCGAGGGATCCAACAGCAACGACAGGAGTCTTCGAGATCTCCGTGGCTTTGTCCGATTTCTTGGTGAGAACACCGCCACTTGCCTGTACGCTCGCAAGTCGCTGGCCACGACCTACAATTGTGACGTCGTGTCCGGCCTTCACCAGATGCACTGCGAAGGCGCAGCCCACTGGTCCGGCGCCAATGATGGCAATCTTCTTCTTTTCCGTGGCCATATGGTCAAACGAAGAATCTGCGAAATAGAGGCGAGACAGACACGGTCGTTTTCCAGGAAGTCCGACTAAGCAGAACTTAGACTAACACTTGGCTGAGATGAAAGAGCCGCGTGGTTTGGTTGAGATGTGAAGATGGTGGTCAAGAGTGGGATTTGTGGCCGGGATACATTGAATAGACGATTTGTTTGTCCATCGCTGCAGCAATTTGACTGGAAGCCCTCATGCTTCGTATGAGAGGCGACTTCTAGGCAACAATGAAACTGGAAACACTATCCTCCGTACTCGGGCATCTACCTTTGCCAATAGGTATTGGTTCTCCTGCTTTAAGTTATTCGCAATTGCGCACTAAGACGAAAAGACGAAAGTTCCCACACACAAGCGAAGTGAAGGCCAAAGAGAGGGGGTATAGGGCGGCATCACTCTCGTCCCGAAGGAGCGTGGGAAATTCTTGGCACTACAGGAAGCTCAGACTGAGCTTTGGCAGGCGATCAGGCGATGTACCATCCTGGACACGACGTGAACGAAACCCACTGTATCTCCTACAGCTCCTTGCCCTTAGGCTCTATAGAGGTGCCTTCAACAATTTGTGCTCGCTAGCAGTCGGGGGAGTCACTGCGTAAGCGGGAACGAAACGTACACCCCTTCCATCTTGTCCCTCCAAACCGCCATCACCAGACCTCGAATCTTCTGAAGGAGCCCCGACTCGACATCCATTATGCCTACACCCGAGTCGGAGCTGTTTCTGCGCCAGAAACCCAAGGTCCCCCCGACGTTCCAGGGCGTCGATTTCCAAGACAATGAAGCAGTCGCCGATGCAAGAGACGCAATTGTTCGAGAACAATGGGTTCAGAGGATGATGAAGAGGTTGGTGGGAGAGGAAATGGGTATGTCTGTCGAGAATGCTTTCTGCACCATCATCTACGGTACCTTGTTGCGGAAGGAGGGGTCTGAGAGTTCGTCCATGGCTGTGCTGAGGATTTCATATGGCTCTTTGAAGGAGTAGCACGGGACGACATCTCCGGAAATGCCTCCTTACCCAGCATGTTCCTTGATCGCCCCATTCTAATACCTTGTTCATGCAGGCAAATGCTACGCACGCGAAGGTGTCAACCATCTTGAGAAATGCGGAAAGTACAGAGGTGAATAACCCCCGAGCCCCATCTGCTTCTACTCGCCCAACATTACGCCGTATCTGACTGTTCACATAATTCAAACCCAAAGACCGTTATCTCCAGCTCCTCAAGTCGACGCGCGAAGCCGGTTTCCGCGGCCAACAACAAAATTATATCCCAGGTGTAGATGGTCCCGCAGGTGGCCCAGAGGTTCACACAGACTACCCGAGCGCACAACAGGCCAAGGGTTCCAGAGGATCAGATCACAGACCTGGCAACACGACAGGAAAGGGCGGCGATGCATTGTACTAAGAGACGAAGAAAAGACGGAACTTGGCTATGTGGTGAATCGAAGAGATAGCCGCAGACCATGCAAAATAACTGATTCCAGCCCTTGGGCGGAACTATGTACATAGGGCATGACGTGGTCCGTGGGAGGCCAATACCAAGAGGATTTGATAATTGTCCTTGTGCCGCTTTCTATGGTGTTTCACGGTAGGGTCAAGAACTCGTGTATCTGCTCGTCTTAGTGTCTCACAGGGTTAGTAGTGCAAAGGACGGTACCAAAAATAAGAAGTTCACGAGCATTCATTCTTCCCATGATACTACGGTACACTACAAATTCAACTCGCTGGATGCAGAAACAACCACTGTCGACGAATTCAATAGAGGCCATACACCCGTCGCATCATGATGATTTGAAATGATTTTTGATGTCTTGGTTCTGAAGGAACCACTTTGAGCTCAAAAACGTCAACCCATACACTTTTCCAGCAGCTCTGGACATTGTCATCGAACATTAGGCCCTCTTGTGAGTAAATCCCAACGAGTTGTTGGATTCCTTTTGCCATTCTCACGCAGGCCCAATATCACAACTTCCATCAGCCACACGAGATTGCCGCCTTTCAAATCTTGCTCCTCTTTCCCGCTTTCTCCGCCGTGAAGGTTGCCAGGGCATCCATCAACGGCGGACTGAGCGCATCATATGGCTCTAATCCGAGCTCCCGCAGGCGATCCCGTACCTCACCCATCTTCTCCGGAGGATAGCCCTGTTCAATCAAGCTCGACACAAACGCCGCAAACTGTGGCTCTTGCCAGCCCTTCTCATCGCTCAGCTCGACGTGCACGAAGGACAATCCCTTGAATGCATGGTCCTTTTCGATCGGCCCGTACATGTGGACACCGCAATCCTTGCATGCGTAGCGCAAGATGGTGGCCTGGTCGTTCACGACGGCGAGCTTCTCTTTGTTCTTGGTGACACGGACGTTACCGTCTGGAATAACTGCAACGATGGAGAAGAGGGCGCCCTCTGGCTTATAGCACTGAGAGCATCCACAGGCGTGGTTGTGCAGGACATTGCCCTTCAGCTCGACCTCGACGGGGTTGGAAGAACAGTGGCATCGAAGAGTACCGCCGGGAAAGTCGTCTTTGCCCTTTGTGATACCGTTGTCAATGAGGGGGTGTAGGGATGGTGCCATGGTGCTCGTAGTCAATAGGATCAATAGGATCAAATACAGTTGGGAACAGGAAACAATCGAGGGGAACACAGCTTCAGGGAGATCCGACAGGGTTCTCAGGCAGCTTTATACCTTCAGTAAACCATCGGGTACGTGCTGTGTACACTTCCGTCAACAAAGTCCCCAGGACCTTACTCTTGTCATTCCATTGGTGCCGTCTTACTCTGGCATCATATGAGGGGTAGGTGAATGAAAGGATCCAACTCATACAAGCACCTCGCTCATCTACTCCGTTTTGAGCCAGACGACGCGGCCCCTCAGCTCCCATATGGCGCAATCCGCAGGTCCGATGGCAGGGGGCATGGGCTGAACACACCGAGTGCTTGTAAAGCAACGCTGAGACGCTGGCTCCCACACTCGGTCGGCAGTTGTGGTGGTGCACCGAACTCCTGTTGAAGCTCGGGAAATGTCGTGTCAGCTTCAGCAAGCGATGTGGAGAACAGGGTGACTGTAGCTGCTCCGTCGTCTCCGTCTTTTCAAGAATTGTGCCGGTTCCTCTCGCTCGTCGGTGCCTTGTAAATGAATTCGGAAACTGTCAAACATTGCCCAAGAATCAGATCGGAGGGGAGTGGGGGGTGGGCGGACCGAAAAGGGCGAGGACATCCGATGGGACACTTTGAGCAGAACGGGAATAGGCAATTGCGCTGTTATGGTGGTTTGATTGACAGTATCAAGTTACATGAAGAGTCTGCGCAATTGTGCACCTGCGTATTGAGGCCTCTGTGCCTCCGTACATTTGGGCGCCGCTTCGAGTACCAAGCCTTACGAGCAAACTTTGTGCAACCAACGTCCACCATCCAGCCGTTCCTCCACTGGCTAGACACCCGTCACCGTAGACAAGACCATGAGCACTTGTTCCAAATGACATGAATTTCTCGTCGCTGGCAGACGCGTGACCAAATATGCCCTTTCCATTTGTGCTTTCTACCACCTCCCACATCTCCTTTCAAGCCAGCCTTATCTCATCCACTCACCCGTCCCTCCCCACCGCAGCGACATCTCGGAGGGCGGTTCTCCGGGCTTCTCTAAAGGCCTACAAGAGACTGTCAGCAGCAGACCAGGCTACGAACCTGTTGCCTCTTGCCTCTACAGTCCAAAGCTATATCCGCTACCTCGTCACCCTCGACGTCGCGCTCTGTGGCAAACCTGTGGCTGGCGAGGACGTGGACATTGCACTTGCACAGGAACCTGAGATTGAGTGGCGACCAACCTTGAGCTTGAACGCCATTCCAGGCCGTGAGAATGAGCGGGTCAAGGGCAAGGGACTTGACTACGAGCTCTTCTTCGTGCATCACACACTAGCGCTCATTCAGAATCTATTAGCCAGAAAATCTCTCCTTGGGCTCTATGCTGCGGTGAATCCGACATCAGAGCAACGCATAACACTGATCCAAAGTGCTTCCAAGTGCCTTAAGACGGCACACGCAATCCATTCCTATCTTCTACTGAGAGCAAACTCTTCCAGCGATGGTCCCCCCACATTTCCGCCCGCTGCGGTTGACGTATCCGCAAGTGTGCAATTAGCTTTGCAGCACTTGACCCACGCGGAATTTAACTTGCTTTGCGTGCTGAAGGAAGATCCATACCCTGCACTGCTCATTCAATCACGAAACAAAGACGATAAAGAGTGGATGATTAGGGCTCCACAAATTCAGAAAGTTCGGGGTCAAGTGCTAACTCGACTTTGTATCGGAGCGGCAGAGCATGCTTCTGCGGCTGCAGTGGCTCTAAAGGTCGAAACCGAAAAGGCGTCGAAAGAGCTCTTAGAATACTGTGATGGCATCCATCGCGCCTCGCGGGCGAAAGCATGCAGATTCCAGGCACTAGAGGAGGACACACATGCAGGCCAAACAGGGAAGGCTATCGCATGGCTCAGAGCAGCAATGAATGAGCTAGGCCTCGAAGTGGGGAAAGATGGCTCCAAGTCTTCGGGCTTTGGCAAGCTGAAGACGTCCTGGATCGAAAAACGAGAAGACAAACGGATCGAAAGGGGTAGCTCAACGTGGGGGATGGACGGCGGTAAGCTCGAGGAAAGTCGGATTGTGGAGTACCTAGATCAAAAGTTCAACAAACAGAACGATACGATTAACGTCCAGCTGATACCGGAGTGGAAACCGCTGCTGTCAACACTGCCTAGCGGGATGAATATGCCAATTGATGAAAGATGGAAGCCAGCACCCTTGGAGGAAGATGAATTGGCGTCAATGAGAGCGCCGCCCGAAGATGATGGACTCGGTGCCGCAAATAGCTCGGATGAGAACGAAGATAGCACAACGGCGCCCGCAGGAGCTTTCCCTGGCACGCAGCGGGATTATGGTAGTGGGACGAGTTACTATTAAGTGGTCGGCCCAGACAGGGCAATGCTGGCAAACTCCAGCATCGCCGGGTTGCGCACTGGAGCGTTTTCTTGTACCTCAAAGTTTTTGGCAATAGGGCTTCTAGCCCATGTGATTTATCTACTCTTTGTTGCTCGCATAATTATGTAGAAAGGAAGTCAAATGTCTGTGGCTGCCATAACAACAACTGATGTAGTTTTAGGACTTGTATCCATGTACTCTGGGATCAGGCTGCCAGCCTCGTCAGCCTCGCCGACCCCAGCTTTGCCCCTGATGCACATTCAAAGTCCCAACCCCCACAAACCCCCTTTCTGTGTTTCAACATTGTTTCAACCACTGTTTTCGCCACCAATCATCCGTTCAAACAACTGATTCACAGCATCTGTCCCCGGTTCAACCCATCCTGCGTGGTTCGCTATAGTCATCCACAAGCTTTTATTCCCTCCCGTGGCCTGCTCAGCAGCCAGCCAAACGCGCTGAACCCGCAGAATCCCCATCACAACGCGTGGGGCCTTCGCAGAGGATCTCGCGTGTATGGAAGTCGATGGTTGGATCTGGGCGCGCCGGCGGGAGTCTGTTTGGTGGTGTGTTTGTACAATGGTTCGAGAAGTTGCGTGATGAGGTCGTGACCACTGGCCCTTGCGTCTACGCGCTGTCGGATGTGGTGCTGATGATGCTGGTGGCTTGGGGCCCCTAAAGGCAATGATGGGTGACTTATTCTTTCTTCCTGGGTCAAGAAGCGTAACGGAAAATCAAGGTAAGTGGACGTGTCTGTTTTCTCCCTACAACAACAGCATATAAAAGTGGACGGACCAGTGCGTTTGTTCAGTGCTATTGACAAACTCTCGGCTCTCGTGGTGTGCGTCCAAGTCTCCAACCTGAACCGGCCACAAGAGCGAGAGGGAAAGGACAATGAATCTCACATTAATATATTTCTTCGGCATCATGACTGCGATCCTGGCGCATACAAATTCAACCTCAGCTCTGCCCGTGGCCGACTCGATATTATTACCAAAAATCACCATCAGACAAGACTCTTCACCACGATCGCCTAGTCAGACTGCGCCGGCGCCGGCGCCCAACAACGCTCGTTTCGTGAGACATGGAGGAACACACGGCAAGCGACAACAAGATCTGCCGTCAGAAGAAGTCGAAGGAGACCCGACTTCGAACTCTATCATACTAATGCCGACACAAGGCACTCGGTCTCAGCCGATGTACAAGAGAGGAAACAGGCACCCTCCCATGGCGAGATTTTACCCCTTTGACAGGGGCAATGAGACCAGTTTCCCGAACTCGCAGACATCGCCTCTCAATAATGGTTCGAGCGGCACGCAGCCTTCCACCGGAGTCACTAGCCCTGCCGTCGCCCTGTCAAACGGAACATCCACCAGCCCCAACAACGTCACCGATACATATACGTCCGCTCCCAATCCGCGCACAGACACGACGATAGTGACGGTGGCACGGATCCAGACGCTGCCCCCAACCACGGCGTTATCCACAAATGCACCACCACCTCTGCCCGAACCTCAACCGAACCTGGTCACGCAGTCACAGTTTTCTGGAACAACCGCAACGCTCACAACGAGCCAGAGGACAAGGAATCCAAACTGCCCGTCCCGATCGGGAATACCCCCGGTCCCGGATCCCGACACGACCTCTAGCCCGATCTTCCCAGTCATCGTGACAGTCTTCCCTGTTTCGACGGGCCCTTCGACTATAATATGAACAAAATTTCTCGGGAATGGTTTGTTCGCGAGCACCGCATCTTGCCAGGCGAGCCAATGCTGCGCGGCATATGAGATTATGACACCCCGGGATTGGAGGAATTTTACTTAGTACACAGACAGCCTCCTTGCAGGAAAGGCACCAGCTCCGGGGCTGGATCTATAGCCATGGCACCTTTGTCTTCATATGGATTATTTGGTTGGTTGCTGGGGACTTGGATCGCTGGGCGACCTTGAAGACCTTCTACACCACCACTACCAGATCAATTGACTGAGCCGAAGTTCTCTGCAGGCTGAATGGTAGAATTGCGCACCTATGTAGCTCCATGGCGATGAGGTATGCACTCACGCTGAAAATGAGCAAAGGATGGAGATTGCAACGCAGAAAACTGGATAATTCTCCTGGACTAGTGTAAACAGTTCTAGTGACTGCGGGACGCCATCACCATGGCCATATCATATATTCAGTATGCCTACTCCCATTGCTCAAGTTCAACGCAACTGAAATGTTTCCCTCCGATCCCTTTCCCAAAGCATGACATTGGTATGCATGACAGTAATGGTATGATCACTTTACAGGCCAGTTCCTCAGCATTGGGGAGCCAAAGTCTGAGCTGGATACATAGATACATAAACATGGGAGAGTTCATAAAACTCGCGTCGAGGAGAGACTCTTCTATCTGCACCGAGGAAGAGAACGGAATGCGTCAACAAAGCTGGCTCCATATCGAACATCGCACAATTTCTGCGGGATTTGTTGCATTTCCATGCCTCCTTCACGTACTCCCCAGTTACAGAACCTCTCCAACAATCTTCGCAGCCTCCTTATAGGTCGCGAGCAACTTTTCACACTTCTCTCTTTCCTTCTTGATCCCATCGTCCTCATATAGCAAGTCACCGAACAGCTCTTCTTTGTATAGTTCGCTGACAAGGCGGTTCTGCACTTCATCTCTAGAGTGGTTGACAAGCAAATGCATGATCGCTTTTGGCACCTGATCGGCAATTGTCTCGCGGACGATGTTGAAATAGCTGGAGATCAGACGGCGGATCAGTTCGGTTTCGAGGGCTTCGCGTTCCGTCAGAACAGGTTCTGCATTTTGTTCGGGCTAAATGATGTTCATGTTAGCAAAAGATATGGAGGGAAATACCAGAGAGACGGGTCGGGTTTACGTACGAATAATAAGCTCGAGTCGCCATACTCAGACCCCGGCGCATAGTCGTCATGCATCGCTGGCGGATACGCAGGCGATCGATCTGTAAAGCTTCCACGCTCCATTCGACGCATGCTCTGCGAGAAGCTCGGATCAACACTGTGGCTGACGTGCCTTTGGGCCACCGAGGCGGACGACGGAACAACTGCTGGACTACCCTGTAGCGGACCGCCTGGTAATCCGCCTTCCTTTCCGAAGAAATAGTTTAGGAACGAATCTCTGGCAGCGCCTGCTGAGCCAGCAGCAGCGGATATGCTACCGATGCCATTCTCACGCTCACGAGCTACGGCGGGTGACATGCTCCGGCTCAGTGTCGGGTGTTTTCTGGTTGGTAGCGAGGTAGATTTGTCTTCTTGTTCCGCATCTTCCTCATCTGGTGTGGCGGCGCCATTAACGCCCAATTGCTTCATGCGTTGCTTCTCTCGTTTTCGTCTCTCCTCGGCTTGTGCAATCTTCTTGTCCTTCTCGTTCTTGCTCGCGATGACAGAAGACATTGCAGCAGCGGCTCCAAGAAAGTTGGGGTGGTTGGTATTGATGTATGCGCGTTGGATTGCAATAAGTGACTCGACATAATTTGAGCATGGACCAAGTCGCTCTCGAAGCAGATCTGAGACGACCTCAATGAGTTTGCCTTGCAATCTAGGAAATCTAGACAGCTCCGTGGACCCGCATGTATGGCATATCTTGATCAGCTCTTCATAGACCAGCTCCACACATCGCTGACTCGGGATCTCCAACAACTTGATTTGTGGCTTCACCAGGAGGTCAAAGGCAAGCTCAGGAACGAAAAGACTCGGCCGCGGTCCGGTAGAGTTTCGAATCGCGGTTCGGATGTCGAGGACAGAGAGGTTATGTGTAGGATCGATGGTTTCTAGAGAGTTGCCGAAGACGGAGTTGAAAATGTAGTATATCCTTGCACCACCACAGAGCTCTTTGGTTGATATTTCAGACGACGTACCGTCAATGGAAGAGATGAATGATGTGGCGAAGCGAGTCATAAGTTGAAGGATTAACGACCCGCGATGTTCCTTGCCACTAAACTGCTTGCTCCCATAAGATGCCAGTTCTTGCTGTGTCTGGCCCATCAAAGTATTCAACCGCGCCTTGATGTCAGGTAATCGATCACGGATGTGGCCCATGAGAGTTGTGTTCAGTGTTTTGGCCAGATATTGTGTACCGCATCGAGTTGCCATGTTCCGATAGGCGGGATGGTGTCTGAAAAATTCTGCCTCAGATCTGAGAGCTTCAGACATGGGTTTATTGGTCTGTATGTCTTGTTGTGACCGGTTGACAACACCAATAAACCCAAGTTTCAGTGGATAAACACGGCCTGATAGGATATCCAAAGCGTTTGTACCATGGTCCATCAAGTCCAACTTTGTCAGGACGCCGATGGTCCTTCTTCCCATGGGGTCAACATGCCGAGCGAGCTTCAAGGCTTCCGAATTGACAATATCGACATTGGCAGGAGAGACGGCAAGGATGATGCTGTTTGGTTTGGCAATGTACTCGGAGATGAGGGTTCGCGTTTGCTTCTCGATGTCGGAGGGCTGGTCGCCAATGGGGACTTTGGTCAGGCCAGGTAGATCCACCAGGGTGAGGTTCAGGACATGGGGAGAAAAGATCTTCAGGTTGATGGGTTGTCGATTAATGCCCTTGTTATTGCCCGCTATTCTCGCCGTCTCGTTCTCAATCTCAGCACGGACTTGGTTAAAATCGGTGAATTTGCGACCTGGGATATGGTGAAACTCTGCCCACTCCCCGTGTTCGGCCACGCTGGCAGCTGTATGGGGGATGTGTATATCGCCATTCCCGTTGTTATCTGAGTCGTCGTCTTCAGGAGGGATGTTGATAAGCTGCAATATCAGCGGCCGGCGAGTGACAATGCCACTTCCACGCGGAAGAAAATCCCGACCAACAATGTTTTCCAGCACAGACGACTTTCCCGACGACTGGGAACCGACCACCACTATCTGGGGGAGATCGAGGGAGTCATTGCCTATCGTGTTGAAGACGAGGTCTTGGAGCTTGTTAACTGTGCGGAGGAGGTCATCGCCGAGCGTGGTCATTGTCGATGACCGTGTCGCAACTGGTTAGGAGAGGTGTTTCGGAGAACAAAAGTTGGATACAAGGAAAATAGCTAGGGTTTCAGGATGATAACCAAAACAACAAGTGGCAACAGAGAAACACCACGACGTAAAAGAATAGGAGAGAGGTGGGAACACGGCGAGGTTGTGGTGAGTCTTTGATCAGATGGCCACCTGCAGGCACATGTTTACTTGCTGGCGTCTGTTGGGGGGAGGAGGAAACGGGGAGCACAACTTTGCAGGTGCTGCAAGGACCCGATGTGGGTTTGCAGGCGCAGGATGAGAGCATGGCACTCAGGTCGCTTAGGAAAGCAGGTTTCGCGAAATACAAAAAGGGTAGATAGAATGACAATGACATTGTTGGGTGACTGCAACTGAAGAGGTCTGTGAGTCGGGGAAATTGTCATGTCAGACTAGCAAGTTATGTGATTCGCCCAAAAACATCCCAATGGTACCTGTGGGTGCCTGGCTCTGACGTCGACGCCGGCGGATCATGGTCCGGGGATGCCTATTTTGGTGGCTTAAGGTGGCTGGGGTCCCCCCCCCCGGCGCCCGCCAGATACCTACCAAGTTCAGCGATGCCATGGCCGCAACTCCTGCTAGGTATGGAGCATCCATCCGAATCAGTGCATGAGGCGGGGTCAATATTACGACATGGCACCATGACAACAGGCCATGTACCCCGTACTCTGGACGAGCTTTCCAGATCTTTATAATTCAACCAACCTCCTTCCCATCTCTTCAAGTTGTTCTAAATCCCCAGATACCCTGCCATTGTTTTTGGCCTCACCACTACCACAGTCATGCGTACAACGTCTAGCCTTGCGATTGCCATCACGGGCCTTCTGTTTGTAAACCATGGCTCAAGTCACCCGATCGACAGTGACATTCAAGTTCCCTTCACCGAGACAAGGCCTCAGGAGCCTGCGACCGAGGGCTCATACTCAGCCTTTTCGACCCTCAGAGACGTCCTAATTGACCACGATATCATTGGCGATGTCCTCGACGATTTTGAACCCTCCTACTCCCTCGACATCACCTACCCAAATTCACACGAAACTGTTCTCCTGGGCAACGACATCCCCGTCGACTCCGTATCGAAACGACCCATCTTCACCTTTCATTCCATAAACTCTCAGTCAGCACGAGGCAGAGAGTCCACCTTCACCCTGATCTTGACAGATCCTGATGCAAAATCTCGCGACCACCCAAAGTGGTCTGAAATGTGTCACTGGATCCTCACCAACTTGACCACGCCTATACCAGAGCCCCCCTCAGTGTTCCAACGACTGAAAGCCAAACCCGGAGAGCTAGAGGAATACCTACCGCCGGGCCCACCACCAAAGACTGGCGCCCACCGTTATGTGTTCGTCTTATTAGAAGGCGAGACCTCAACCCTAAAACCGCCTGCGGACAGAAAGCACTGGGGTTATGACAAGCCCAGACACGGTGTGCGGGACTGGGCCAAGGAGAATGATTTGACTGTTGTGGGAGCCAACTTTTTCTATGCCCAAAACGAGAAGCAATAATAGGTGGAGACGGATCTGATACCCAGAGGCTTGATAAACCCTTCATGTCCGAGTTTCTTCAAGGAGCTGGATCGCTGCCAACCCTCTCCACACTTGATCCATGGCGTCTTTTCCCTGCCTCAAGTGCTTTTCAACTGTCCCCGAGGAAACGACATCCGCCGCCTCGGCTGCAAATGTCCACGCTTGAAGTCGTTTCGATACTTCGTCCTTCGTGTCCACTTCAGTTTCCTGTTTCTGCTTGTCTCCAAACGTGGATGTGGCATGCACAAAGTGTCCAGAGCGAGCTAGGATCGGAAAGGCTTGGAGGAGTTGGCTCTCGTCACCGAGTCGGTCAAGCATATTGACGGTGCTAGAGGAATCTTTTTGCAGCTGGTCGTCCATAAATGTCAGGTGCGAATACGTCATTCTCTGCTGGTGCATGGCTGGGAGTAGACCTCTTTCGATGGCATTCACAAAGAGATCAATTGCTTGAGGTTGGAATGGTCTCTCCACTGGTTCCTCATTTACTGAAGTTGCTGACTCTTTCTCGAGCAAAGGAGATCTTAAGTTGGCTGCAGCGGAGAGAAGCTGTCTCCGCGCCTCGACATACTGCTCGTATATAATATTAATTTGCTGTTCAAGCCCTTCTTCGGTCTCCAGCACATCTTCTGCATCCATAACGTTCGATAAATCAGGACCTTCTTGACATATGTCCAGGGATTGTTGTAGCCAAGTAGTCAATATCTGTCTCACCACAGACATCGCGGCAACGTGTTGTTCGTCTGACGCACTGCTGGGCTCGGGGATGCTGGATTTAGCATGGTCAAGCAATGTTTTCTGTTGCGCAGCTTCGTGTCTAGCACGAACCACGGCCACTTCGAGAACTTGGAGAGATTGCATGATAGACATTGGAAGTTCCCCCTCTGAAGCATGCTCGGGGCGACGTGGTGCAAACACAGGATCGATAGGTGCGGTGGTGCGCCGTGCGTGGGCTGGCCAGTTGGATGATGACAAGATGGTATCCACGTCAGCTTTGAGAGCTGTCAATTTGGCATTCTGTTCCCTCAGTCGCAACAAGTCGAAATGTCGATCGAGGAAGGCCACATTGTCCGATGCTGGCCGTGGAGATGGATCCGTATCATGGGTGTGTGACGAGGTAGACTCAGCGGCCTCCTTGTAGCACCGCCGTGCCTTGACATTCGCTTGAACAGCCGCGAGATACTCGGCTTTCAAGTCGGCGTCGAGCTGCTGTTGACTTTGTTCGTCTTTTGCCGCATTAATGGGGAATAAGTATTTTCGAATCTCTTCCACGTCGTGCGTGTGCTGGTCATATTGGTCGAGTATCGTGGTGATTCGCGCAAGAAAATTGTCGCGATTCGGCTCCTTTTCCGTCATGACCGTGCTGAATTGATTGATAATGTCTGCTGATCCTGTTACCCCCTATCTAGCAGATTTCATGGATTTCACGAGGGGGTTTCCACCAGAAATTTAGGATTGGGTTTCGTAATTAATTGAAATCACAGCATCAAGCGTCACCGCACGACCGCTCTTTGGTGCGCATGTATATGAATCTGCAACTGATGGTCACCGAGCTGTTTTCACACATGTTCTTAGAAAATTTGGGGGCAGACATGGTTGTTGCTATGGGAATCTATCGATTGTGATACGCAGGCTTCGAGAAAATCGACGTGTGGATCGCCGCTTGTACCACAAGAATACCCCCTATAAAAATTGACTATAAGGCTCATAGTTACACTACCCAAATGCTATACCTGTGCGTGAGGAGATTCTTAGCCAATGAATAGCTATATATGCCGAAAAGGGTCTTGAGATGGGATGCGCACAGTATTGACAAAGGCCTCACTCGAAAGTGCAGCTCGTGGACTATGGAATAAGTCGATAATGGCCATTGGCAGGCGATCTATAGAAAAGAGTATGATGGAAACAAGTCGTATCTCGCGGAGCTGGCCTGCTTAGAGACAGCTGGGTAGTGCGCAGTCTTGACTCCTTTTCGCTTTTGATATTCCTGCTAGGAGAAGTAATCATGTGGAAGAGATCAGAGCTCCTGGAAGATACAGCCCAGGGGTTTCCGTTCCAGACGTTGAATATGAGGACATTGCCACCATTGCGAATCTTCCCGTGACTTGAGGATGGCGACGTCTTTTCCGTGGCAATGCATAGAGTAACGCTAAGGTGTGCGCAGGATCAAGAATAGTCTCTGGATTGCCATACATCCGAACCCACGGGAAGCCCATTGCACAGGTATGCTACGCCTGTGCACTTGTCCTCAACAATCTGGGGTGTAAGTTTGACCGAGGGTGGACACAGGCGGAACGTTCAACGAGCTCATCCATACTGCTCTATCTTTGCCTCGCGAGCTCTGCAACGAGCTTGGGGTATGGCATGAGGGATCCGTTGTCGTTCAACCCCTCGAGGACAGCTCCTCACATGCGGTGAAGAGACAGGAGTATATCGCAAAATATGGCAGACCCTTTCTGGCATCCGATTCTGCCGCCACGATCGAAAGTATAAATGGTCCTCAGATGTGGATTGGGGTCCGTCGTATTTCGGGATTCAGGACTGGACGGAGTGGTGGCGAGCAAGATTCCCATAGAGTCGGGATGTTTCGCTGAGAACAGGGGGCATCGACCCATCTTCACATCTCACGTCCCCAAGTTAGCGCTATGCAGCGATCAATACCTGGTTCAGCTGCCGTGGCCATTCAATCCTTGTTTCCAGTGTGTCTCTTTGCTTCGATTAGCCGCCGCATGAGTTCGCGGCCGTCATCGCCTTCCTTGCCCTCAATCTCAATCGCTCTCCCCAACCACTCAACCGCATCCTGCCATCGCCCCATCTCCATCAAACATCGTCCTCCCACAATGTAGGCTTTCGCATTGCCAGGGACCTTCTCCCCATTGGGACCGGTGCCAGGGCCACGTTTGCATTCAAGGCTGCACTCTGCATCTTTCAGACCCTCCACCCAATTTTGAAGGTCAGCATTAGCAGCAGCACGCGAGAGATACATCAAAGCGAGCTCTTCTCTGGCCAGGCCCATAGGTTCCCATCCTGGTCGTGCAGCAGCCATATCTATGCCAACTCCGAGGAGGCGGATAGCATCTGCATGCTGGCCTTTGCGAGACGCTGCCACTGCAGACTCTCGTAATTTTTGGATCTGGCCTGATCGTTTGGGGTTGACCGGAAGAGGAGGAGGCGGGATATTATTTGGGGTCTCGAGTGGCTTGAAGGACGTGTGGAGCTTGTTGATATTGGAGATCGCATCCTGTAGCGCCTTGTCTGAGGATAGGACGGAGATTTGTTTTGTCTGGGGATCGATGTGGAGCGGGAGGTGTGTATAAGTTTCTAAAGCGTCGTCGGTTGAGGCCATCGTGATTTCAATGGGAGAAACTGGTGGGTGAGATCGCAAGATGACCAGCTGGGAATCTGCGGACAACAGAGCACAGGGCAAAGGAATGGGAACTCAGCGGCAGGGAGGGAGTCAAAGTCGAGGTGTCTTCATTGCAGTAAAGTCTTGGCACAACCCGGAGGTCACGTGGATGCTTCACTATGTTTCCCCGCGGCACCTTTTGGTCTAGCGGCATTCTGCCTCGAACAGAATCTTCCACAGGAGCAACAATGCTTAAGCGCCAACTGTCGGCGAGAGGATTCCCAGTTCTACTGAATAGCGAGCAACTTTGGTTGACATGGTTTACAAGTGACGAGAAAACTACAGGGGAGAATTCTGCTGCTCTGAAAAGGCTAATAATATATGGTAAATTTCATTTTGGTTTACATTCGGCCCTGAAGAGACCAGGTTCAGAACTTTCACGCCGTGGCAGCGACCTGCATGGCTCGGGCCGCTTTTGCGGCAGGATGCTGGTATCTGGCAGCGATGAGGCGCTCGCGAAAATACTCGCCAGCGTTGACTTCTTCGTACTTGGTGCCTTCCTCGACGCAGGTGGGCACGGTGGCGAGGGTGGCCTCGCGGTTGGGACTAAAGAAGAAGGGCATCGAGTAGCGCTCCTTCCCGCTCTTATTTACGACGCGGTGCACCGTCGACTTGAACTTGTCGTTGGTGATGCGGCTAAGGAAGTCGCCGATATTGACCACATAGCTGCGCGGCCGTGGCGGCGCATCAATCCAGATGCCATTGGCATTGAGGACCTGCAACGCCTCGACCGACTCCTGGAGGACGAGGGTGAAGAAGTCGTAGTCGGTATGCGCCCCAAGGCCAATATCGGAGGCGCCAGGAACAGGCTGGGGCGGATAATGCAGGATGCGCACGCCACCCATGGGGTATGATGTGGCGGCATCGAAGTAGTCTTCGGGCAGATCAAGTGCCAGAGCGAAGATCTGCATCAGCCTTTTGGAGAGCGCCCTGACCGAGCGGAAGTACTGGTACATGATGGGCCGGAACTCAGGATATGCCGTCGGCCAGCAGTTGCTGCGCTCAATCGCCGTCGAGACGCCGCTGTTGGGCGCTTGGGACTCGGGCTCCGTGGCGTCGTCTCCCATGGTGAAGGCCTCCTTCATGTCTGAAGCCGCGACATCTTTGTTAGCCTGATGGTGCACACGTTTGGCAAGACGATGGACGAACCTCCCTTGCCAGCGCCCTCCATCTTGGTCTCAAACAGCGGTTCGTAGCCGCGGAGCGCCTTGGATTTGTGGATGTGCACCTCCATCTTCTCTTCGTGCGAGAGCGCAAAGAAATGCTTGACGGCGGCGAATGTCTGGTCAATAACCTCGTCTGGGATGTTGTGGTTCTCGGCGTAGAAGAATCCGACATCCCGGCAAGCCTTGCCCACCTCCTTCGCCACCTTCTTGCGCTCCTCGAGAGAGTCAGAGAAGATGCCCGAGATGTCGATCACCGGGATGGACTCGAACGTCTTCTTCGCGGCCGCTCCTCGCAGAACAGGGCGAGAACCCCGTTTCCCACCTGCATGGTAGTGGACGTACTGTGAATGCCGGTCAGAGGCGCCGAGGGACCGGCGGCGTTAGGGTGTGGTGTGTGGCATTGGTGGCTTACCTCTACTTCTTCATGCCCGAGAGAGCCCATTGTGATATTGGGATGAGGTGGCTTTGCGAATCAATGAGATATATCGACGGGTATCTGAGCTCAGACCAGAGAGCAAGATCACGCAAAGCACGCATAGTCTCTGCCAGGGCAGGACAGCCATGGCGTTTATATCTCAGCAGCCAACGGCTTTGCCGATTCCGCAGTGCGTTCTGCCGCAGAGCGGACCTGAGCGCGTTGGGGGATCGCTAGAGCGGTCATCAACGTCTCAATAGAGTGGAAGCGTGAGGATAAGAGTGGGCAGAATGGGGCGATCTCCCGTGGTGGCGCAGGCCACAAGAAGCTTCTACAGTGTTGACCGCCTATAAAGATTGCCCATTTCCCCCGCGTCCTCTTGGCGCCGCTGTCTCGCCTATCATGATGGTGAATCAGCCTCCTCGTGTCACTCCGTTTCATCCTCCCGAATTCCCTCCACTCATCCTCTCATCCTCTCATCCTCTCGATCTCTCGCCAGGCCGCTTAGTACTGCGAATTGCGTTTCCGCTGCTGGTTCAACTGCCCAGCAAAGGTGGGCCGGGACTCCCCGAATTGTCGTTCCCGAAGACTTTGGTCGGATATGCCGAGAGTGAAAGAGATAGAGACGGAGACTCCAACACTGGGAGTCAGACAACACGGAAGGACTGTGCGTACTATAGTCTCTGCCGAGAATCTGGACGTCCCCGAGGACGGCCAAACCCCTGGTTGACCAATCTTACTCGAGAAATGATCACCGGGGTTCTACAACATCTTGATGTCCTTATCAGTGGCACTCTGAATAGTAGGACTTGAGCGACTTCTGAATCATATCATGCATCTGGCAGTAAAGATGATGCGAGTAAACCATGGAAGACGGGGTTTCTTGGTTTCTACTACCGGGTCATGTCCTCGGGACAAGACTGTTGCTGATAAAGGGTATAAAGATGCGTATCACCCGTCTCATTCGTACCGCAACCTGACCGTTAACACATAGCAAATTTGTGCTGGTAACCTCCTCCTGTATCTATTTTAGCTACCCCGCTCGCTGTCCGCCATGGGAAAAGAACTTCCAGCCACAACGACTGCGGTTGAGGACAAGACAGGGAACGAAGACCCTGCTCTCCGCATCCAGGAGGCCGCAGAAGAGTTAGGCATCGATGTTGGCCATGTCAAAGAGATCAAGGGCGCGGATGGTGCCTACACCTATGCCAGCGCCGTGGCCCTGGAGATCGACGAGAAGACCAATAAGCGACTGCTCCGGAAAATTGATTGGCACGTCCTGCCGTGGCTGTGCGGTCTTTACGTGTTGCAGTATCTAGACAAAGGAGTGTAAGATGCTATGTCACTACCCAAATTCTCTGCGTTAGCTGATATATAATGCCGAAGGCTCTCCTATGCTGGTGTCATGGGTCTCCAAAAAGAAACAAACCTGACCTCCAATCAGTACACCTGGCTCGGCTCCATCTACTATGCTGGGTACATCGTCTTCGCTCCTGTCCACAACCGCATGTTCCAGGTCTTCCCGCCTTCAAAGTATATCGCGTGCTGTGTCATGGCATGGGGTGTTGTCCTCACATGCATGGCCGCGTGCCATAACTTCACTGGCCTCATGATTCAACGAACGTTCCTTGGTGCCCTCGAAGCCTCGATCAACTGCGGGTTCTCCCTCATCACCGCCGCGTGGTATCGAAAATACGAGCATGGCAGCAGGACAGGTATCTGGTCTGGCTGTACCGGTGTTGCGACTATGATTGGCGGATTGATTGCCTTTGGATGCGTGGAAGGAGAAACAAAGCATCCCGACGCCAACTTCTCCAGCTGGAAGATCCTAGCCGTCGTCACTGGCATTGTCTCCGTCATCTATGGTGTCTGCATGTTCTGGTTCATGGCTACCAGCGTGGTAACAGCCAAGTTCTTCTCTGAGGAGGAGCGAGTTCTAGCCGTGGAGCGGCTGCGAGAGAACCATCAGGGTGTTGGCTCGACCAAGTACAAGCGCTACCAAGCTATCGAGGCATTCACAGATTACCGGGTTCGTTCCATATCCCCCCCGACCTGCCTATTCTTATACACTGTACTGACGCATAAGCTAGACATGGATGTACGTCGTCTTTGTTCTCTCGTCCCAGATCCCCGCCGCCGGACTCGTGCTCCTCCAGTCTATCATCATCAAGTCCCTCGGTTTCACCGTCAAGGAGACGCTCCTCCTCAACATTCCGCAGGGTGCCATCAATGTCATCTGCAATATGGGATTCGGCCTCCTTGCCGACGTGACGCACCAGCGTAGTGGTGCCGCAATCCTGGCCGGCCTGTTTTCTCTATTCGGCGCTAGCCTATTCATCGGCCTGGGCGACCATGGCCACTTTTATCGCAAAAATGGCCAGTTGGTTGCCTATTTCTTCATGAGCGGTAGCTGCTCCACAGCCTGGTTTATCGTCATTTCCATGTTGTCGAGTAATGTGCTCGGTACCACCAAGAAAACGACGCTCAACTCCATCGTCTTCCTCATTCTCGGCGTCGCGTATCTTGTCGGGCCCCAGACATTTCGTGATCCGCCTTTCTACGAGCATGCCAAGATCAGTCTCCTCGTCCTTTGGATCGTCAGCGTGCTCGTCTTGTGCGGCTTCTTTGTACTCAATACTTGGGAGAACAAACGACGGCAGAGGATGCTCGAGAGGGGCGAAATTTCGGACGGCCATGGCACGAATGTCGAGTTCTTGGACTTGACGGATAAAGAGAACAAGCTATTCCGTTATGTCATCTAAGTCTCTAGCAGATGATGGCGACAATGAAAAGGGCAAGGAATATTTTGCGGGAAGGGAGACGGCACAGCCTCTTAGCTCGACGGCCTAGCGAGAATTTGAGAATGAATGATGACAGTTGAGGCTCCATAACGTATTTCGCCTTCAGCTACGTCCTGGGGTTGATCTATGAATGCTGCGGCGTGGTAATGTGCGAACATAGCAGTGCGAGGCAGAGTGGAGCGGGAGCCATTTATGAATACTACTCAGTATTTGTAGAAGAATACTGCCTAGGTAGGTATGAGTAGAGGACGCCCAAGGCTTTCGCGTACCCTGTATACTTTTCCTGACCATCCGTGCTTCTGTTGTGGTCACATGGCCCTACAAGGCGCTACCTTCCTTTTTTTTTGGGAATGGGCTGCCCTCCTTCTACGACACCCAGGGCCCCTTTCCTCTCTCTGCTTGTTCCTCAGAAAGAGTTCAACGCGATACAGACGCCTCTGAGGCAGCTGAGTGACGACGACTCTGTGGGCCATCGTGGTCTCTCTTCCTTACGTCCTCGCTCCGATCCCAATATGTCGGGCTGCGTTTCAGGATGAAAGACCTGGATGAAGAGAACCAGAAGCTCAAGCTCACAATCAGAACAGACAGATGCAAGAACTGGAGTCCGAAGCTATAACGCGCGAATCAAGCGCCAACAAGATCGCCCTTCATGATCGAAGCAAAGGGTGGTGTTGTGAATTGCATAACAGTCCTGATTGGAACGCACCAGCGTCTCGGAAGTTACAAATGGAGTCTTTTCCACGAAGGCTATAATATGCTCCAGGCGCAGACGGCTTGACAGTGGTTCGGTTCAAAGATCTACCTGAAGTGAGGGCTAAGCTAGATTGCATACACAATCGGCAAGTTAAGAGCTCGTGACAACAAAATCTTGGGGCTTCTGTCAACTCCTCCTAACCAGCTGTCGAGGCTGCGCCTGCCTTCAAGGATCCACTCCTTGTGCCTTTCCCTTGATTTGGTTCTGATGACGCGCAAAGAGCGAACTCAAATCGCCCACAGGAAGAGAAACAGGAAATTCGACGGTCAAAAGCATCTGCGACAGGAAGAGATAGCCTGCCGCCGCCGCTGACACGAAACCAAATGCTCCACCCGCCTGTGTGTAAGATCATTTGTTTATCCGCTATCAGCTCATCTTGCCTTCTATTGCCAACGATAGGAAGGTAGGACTCACGATCAGTAACTTCGACGCGACTTCTGTTCCTGCTTCCGCTGAATGCCAAAACGAACCTGTGAGCAGGCAGAAGCAAATGACCAGGGTACTGTGGATGATGACCAGACAGATGTTCAGCTTCAGAGAACAGATGAGGCAGACCAAGCAGAAGAGGGCCATGAAGAGGAGGAAAAATCCTAGGTACAGAACCCCGAATGTCAGTCTGATATGTTCTTCAAAGACTCTCCATGTGAAAAAGGGACTAACCCCGTCTTCGCGGTAGGAGGACATACCGAAACCAGCAAGAAAACCTGTGGTAGACAACCCAGCAGCAGGATCCGTGGGATCTGGCGAGTAGTTTCCGTACGCTCCGAAGGAAGGTTTCAGTGTTGCTCCGAAGCTCAACCACCATCCACCTGTACAAGGTTGCGCGTCAGTACACGACCATAACATTGGTCTTGTTCTCGAAAGGTATGAAGTGCCACAAGAAACAATTGGGCAGAAGGCCCAAGAAGGGACCAAGAGACCCGAAATTATCACGCACCAAAGCCGCAAAAGACAATGAACGGGTAGCTATTGCCCAAGATGAACTCGCCGACTCCGCCGATAATCATCAGAAGTCCGCCCATGAAGAAGAAAACACCGATTGACGAGGATCCATTGGCCCCAGCGCCTCTCCAGCCCATAAGATCGCAGGACAAGGGTCCTAGGCTCATTATGAAGCCTAGAAGACATCTAAAGTCGACGCATTAGTCCTCCTCGAAGAGAAAAGAGGGCGGCATATAAAGAGACCAGGGCTTAAAGTGGCTGGCTGTTGGCAAGAACACTTACAAAGGAGTCGGATTGGCAAAGGCCTTGCGCAGCTCTCGAGTGTCGCTGTTCGGTGGCGAGAGGTAGATCTTTTCATATGTCGACGGCGACATGGAGATCTCGCGGGCAATGCGAGTCATCTGGTCTGGCGTCTCTTTCTCCATTGCGTCTCGTCTGATTGGGGGTGTGGTTGATGGTGGTTGGTCTCTATGAACTCTTCGCAATCTGCATCTATCGAGAGAGTGTGTGTCAGATTCTGCCGTCGTGTGACTTGATATATTGGCTGGGAGGCTGTCATGTCTTGCCCAGGGGGGACGGGCTGAGCTCAGCCAGGTATCTCCCCCTTTTCCGATCACTGCATACACCTTGTTGATAGTCGACTATCAACTGAGAGCCTGATAGTCATACTAGCCTATCGACGATTTTCGATAACTGAGCTGGCAGATAAGAGGTTCCAGAGCGGTCGAAGAACTGGGTATTCTGAGACGGACAAAGATAAGTGTGATTGTCAAGTCTTCGTATTCAGAAAGACAACAGCGACGTCCGCGGATATACTTGAGTGATCATGGAAATCGCTAGCGTCCCTCGTTGAGATTGAAGAGACTCAATTCCTGCAAAATGTGGATCGCAGTCTTATAATAGAGGGACTAACCGAGAATTGCGGTGGTCGAAACCATTCCGTGCCAACAAGCGCAGCTCGCTGCCAACATACCTCATTGGGAAATGCTTCGGCCAGATCGAGAATCGTGCCAGCAGCAGATAGAGGCAGCCGGTTTTCCTCTATCACGTTAATTGCTTGAGTTGTCCAAAAGAAGTTTCGACTGGAGACTGGAAGACTCCACAATTATTCCTTCTTTGAGGTTGTATCATTGCGACTAATGCCCACTAAACCAACAAGGGCGTGGGGAGATTTCATTGATACATGTAGTACTGCTTCTCCAACACAGAGGATGCAGGGAAAGGGACGAGAAACTAGTCGCAGTTCCGACATGGCGGTAGAGTGCCTGGACCTGGAGCCGGAGCCAGCGTGATACCGAGACGGTCTTGCCTCATGAGGCAACAGATGAGTTCGCGATCGTGGGGAAAGCAGCCACCATATTCGAAGAGCGCTGTCCACAGACAGATTATATGCAGGCCGATAGAGGTTGCAGACTGTCGAATGCTTCATCCCAGAGACTCGCAAGCGGAGATACAAATCAACACTTCTCTTATCTCGGCTCGCCATATGGTAATGTCCAATATCGGACACCTCGATTTTCGGCCGAACTGACGGCCTATTAGCATTGAATTGCCGGAATCTGAAGAAGCAGTTGTCGTCTGCTTTCATTTCAGTGATTGATAGGCTGTTAAGAGAGCCTCGGCCCACGATACCAGATGAGGTTAGCAGTCTGGAAGCGCCAGGAGTCGAAGCGCCTAGGTGAACAAGGCTGACGCTGATGGAAAGATGGATCGGAGATCAATCCATCCCCTCAGGCTTGACCAGTTACATTTTCCGTTGATGAGGACGGACCGAAGGAAAGCATTCGGAGGACAGTCAGTAGGCTCGTTCCTGCTAGACAGGCCCACCAACCACTGGTTCGACCATTGAGCGCAGTCTCCGGCAACTTGATATGAGTGGAGCACGTGGGCTGGGATATCACAGCTTCCGAAACCCACGGGGTTGATTGTTGATCACCTCACTGCATCTCCGCGGGTGCGACAGGACACGCGCCAGCACGGCGACGATCTGTCTGTCGACCAAATTGGGGAATCGAGATAAGAGTTGGAGTCGAGGTTGCTGGTGCTGAAGAGAACAACCAGCTTGATCAACGGTTCGGACATAGGCGACCAAGGTCGAGTATACGGAATGGGAGTGCTCGATGAAGAATCGGCTTCCGTCGTCTGGTATGGAACGATGCAGAGACTCCACGCAGAAGCAGCTCATCTCCTCGGAAATCTGTAAATGTATCAACTGATTGGTCAAATATAGAGGAGAGCATCGACACATCGAGACGAGGATTGAGTCTTGCCCCTCCATTTTGGGTTTGGTGGCTGTGCTACTCACGGCCCAGTCGCGGATATCAATTTTAGGAAGAGATACGGAGTAGATGTATGGCGAGTTAGGTATGTTCTGCTAGCGGGAGCCGTGTCAGACCTAATTTTCCAGTAACACAATGTCTCTGAGTATGCTGTGTACCGATCAGCGCATAACCCAGACATAAAACAAAAGGCCCAGAGGAGGTTCAATGATAACGGTGCCGGCAAACCGAAACAGAAGCCACATTAATTAATTTAGCGTGAGCTTGACGCTAGGGAAGACCAGTAGACAAGAGATATCACACCCAATCAAAGATGGAAGCGAGAGACGCTTTGTACTCTGACAAATAGGACAAGGGAGTAAGGCGCGTCGCGGTAGATACAGGGTTAATGTCTTTGAACCGAGAGGGGGGAGTACGAGTGATCCATTCCTGGTAATATCAATGTCGAGAGCATATACGCCAGGCGTCCCGGGGACATACGTATTCCCTTATCAATGCATTTCCTCTCTATTGTCCCAATCCCTAGCCTAGTTCTTCTGTCTAGGTAGCTTTCCACGACAATCCCCGTAATAATGCAACCCGTCAACCAACCAGCGTGCGGATCCGCAATTTGATTCCGTGCCGAGGAGGGCAATCAAGGGGATGATCTGCCGAGTCAACGAGCAATGACAATCATGTCTGGTTAGGACGAGCAGGATGCATTGTTCAAAGCGCCCGACCCAAACGAATACTTTACACAGAGGGCCTTACTTGGCTCCTGAGTGCGAGGACTTCAAACTCAGATAAGACCCTGAATAGCAGTGCGGGTCTCGCTTGAAGGCTGTGCGATATCAGAGTATTTTTGATTCCTGGTTTGATAGAACTTGGTATGTGTGTCTGTGTGTGTGTATGGTGTATGGAGGAGAAGGATGTGCGAGGGCAAACAGCACCAAGAACACCATGATGTGTATATAAAGGAGGATTTGTCCGGCAATGTTTCATCAAAGATATCCAAAGACTTCAAAGTCACTCTGACAGACAATCTCTTTCTGATCGAGGGCCACCGATCGGTCTTACCTTTGTAGTGGAAGGTATCTATATTTATATTTATATCTATATCCACGTCTGATATATCCACGTCTCCTCCCTCCCTCCCTATCCATCTAGTCGTGTCGCATCCACACAGACACCTTACCATCTGAACAAATCGATCCCACCATGGCGATCGACTTCACCCTATCACCGTACCAGGAGAAACTCAAGGCCGACGCACGGAAGTTTGCCCAGGAGGTCCTGGTCCCCACGCGCGAAGCGTATCTGAAACTGCCCACGCAGGAGGAGCGTTTTCGGGCCACCCGCGAAGCGTACGCCAAGTGCGTGGCCGAGGGATGGATCAAGATCCAGATTCCCGAGAGCGACGGTGGGTCGCGCAAGAGCCTGGTTGACTTGGCCCTAATCACTGAGGAGTTCTTCGCCGCCGACTCCAGCTTTCCCATCACCTGGCTCGTGACGGGGTTGGGCCTGGCCCCGATCTTCATGTACGGCAACGCCGAGCAGAAGAAACGGTTCCTGGCCCCCTTCATTGACTGCAAGGGGGACGCGCTGGCAGCTCTGGGCTTCACCGAGCCGGGAGGCAGCGCCAACTACCTTCAGAACGAGGGTGGGTTGGGGGTGCAGACTCTGGCCACGGTCGAGGGCGACGAGGTCGTCATCAACGGCGGCAAGCAGTTCGCCTCCAACAGCGCAGGATGGGACTTCAAGGGCCCTGAGATCTTGACGTTGCTGTGCCGTTTTGGCGACAAGGGAGACCCCAAGGAGACTCTGTCCATGGTGGTGCTGACCCGCGCCGACTTTGAAGACGACAAGAACAAAGGCGCCTTCGAAGTGCTCTACGACATTGAGACACACGGGTTCCGCGCACATTCGGGCCCGCGCACCAAGTTCACCAACTTCCGCGTCCCCGTCAAGAACATCCTCGCGCCGCCGGGTAAGGGGGCAATGGTCAACGTGGCGGCCTTCACCGAATCGGCAGCCCTGGTGGGCGCAGGGTCCGCGGGCCTGATGCGGAGCTGCTTCGCACACACGCACAAGATCGTCACCACCGAGAAGCGCGGAGGCAATGTCCCGACCATCAACTACCAGTCGGTCGCAGACTTCCTCATCAGCATGAAGATGCGAGAGGAGACTACCCGCTACCTCACCTGGAAAGCGTGCCACTACCTCGAGACGACCGGCGAGGCTGAAATGGCGTACCAGGCCAAGGTCTGGGGCTCTGAGAACGCCATCCAGTGCGTGCTCGAGGCCATGCAGGCCGTCGGCGTGACCGCATACGCGACATCGCAGCCGTACGGGCTGATGATGAACGACGCTCTCTGCCTGCCCCTGTTCGAGGGTTCAAACACAGGAATTCGCCGGCGCCAGATCCAGAAGATCTTCACCCAGGCAGGGTACGACCCGGAGTCGTGCGCAAGTGGCAAGCCGTGGAGTAAGTCGTTGATGGATTTCCCCAAGGGGTTCTTGAGTGTATATATCTGAGGGGAAAGTGGATTGCTACATGGGTGGAGGTGATTGGGGGCCCAACCAGGGGAAAAGGATGAAGGAAGGCAGAGGTGAAAGAACCGTGGGATCTAGTCAGCGCTGTTCCAGCCGGCATGGCGAGGTGATTTGCTACAAGTAGCAGCTACAGAGCAAGAGTTTCCCAAGATATAAAGCCCTGGACAAATGACAAGAGTTCTTCTGGTCCTCAAGCGGATGTGATTGAGGGTCGACAAGGCTGTAAGGCTGCACCAGAGCGATAGAAAATTTACGTCATCATGGTAAGTCTGCATTAGGAACGCCAGAGGTGCCGCTTTATTCCAATTATAGGGCAGCGTCAGAGCCTTCCCAAACGGGTCCATTTCCCATCGGGCCGAACCTCCAGCTGAGGGGCCGAGTCCCTCGCCTTGGCCTCAAATATCAGGCGTGCGAGGATCGACCTTGCCTTCTCCTGCTATGACGGATTCTCATCTCTTTGAAAGGTAGGTGTGAGGTATCAGTCTTTCAATATGCTTGATAGCAGGTCGCAGCATTACTATTACCAAGATTTCTGACTTTCTTTGAGGAGATGGGTTGCTTCCACACCACCAATCTCCAAGTCCGGACCGTATTCGTTTTCTGGTGTGGCAATT